GCCTCTTGGGTTCGGGGCGTTGTAGGCCCCCGAACGTCACCACCGATTCGGTCCTCGTGGCCGCTACCGATGCGCCTTCAGCTTCGGGTCCTATCGCGCAAGAAGGGAGAGATTCATTGCTGGGGTTGTCGGTCGCGGAATGGGGACGCCTCCAAATGGAGGACACCTCCCTCCTCGCTCTGCGCCGTCGCGTCGGGGGGGCTGGTCAGGGGGTGGCGAACGTTGACTCGTGGGGGTTGTTCCAGGGTCTTTTAATGCACTGGGATGGGAAAACCCGCCGCCAGCGGCTCGTGGTGCCTGCAGCATTAAGGGGTAAGGTGGTATGGGCTGTTCATGAGCGGCTTCTGCACTTGGGGATTCACAAGACCTTTGCCACGCTCCAGCTAGATTTCTTCTGGCCGGGCATGGCAAAGGACGTGGGGGATCTCCTGGGGTCGTGCGCGCAATGCGCGCAAAGGAAGCCACCTGCTAGGGGGTCCAACCCTCCGCTGCAGTCCATAAAGGTTTCCCGGGTTAACGAGCTCGTCGCTCTGGACATACTCGGCCCATTTCCCGCTACGCCCAGGGGAAATAGGTATTTATTAACGGGGGTAGAGTACTTCACGAGATGGCCTATGGCCTGGCCCCTGGCCAACCAGTCGGCAGCGGCCATCGCGGAGGCCTTTGTCCAGGGCTATGTCCTCGACAAGGGTGCTCCGGAACGGCTGCTTACTGACCAGGGTAGGAATTTTTCTGGTAAACTCCTACGCGAGGTGTGCGACCTCTTGGGTACGGAGAAGGTTCGGACCTCTCCGTATCACCCACAAACTGACGGGATGGTGGAACGGCTGCATCGGACCATCTCGTCTATGCTGTCCCAGCAGGTGTCTGTATCCCAGACGGATTGGGACCTTCGTATAGCCGGGGTGTTGCAGGCCTACAGAATGGCTCCCCATGCGGCCACCGGGTTTTCCCCTTTCTTTTTAATGTATGGGCGCGAGGCAAACCCCCCTGTGGCGACCCAGCTCAAGCTCTCGGCGCCCCAGGCGAAGTCTAACTTGTCCGAACACGTTAAATTTAACATCAGCAAATTGTCTGAGGCGCGGGAAGCGGCCGCGCAAAATTCTGATCTCCGCCAGAAGGCGAACGAGAGGCTTCGGTTGGGGCGGGTACAGGTGGTAAAATGGAAACCGGGGGACAAGGCGTGGTTGCACTGTCCCCAGGTGCCGCTGGCAACCTCGTCGAAATTGGTACGGCCGTGGCGGGGGCCAGTGGAGGTCGTACAGGTCTTGCGGCCGCAGTGTGTTCGCGTCAAGTGGGGGAGGCGCCGGTGGTATGTGCACCCCTCAAGGTTGAAACCATTCATCGCGCCGCCCCGGGGTTCACACGCACACACGCATGGCCAAACGTGTGAGGGTTCCGCCGACTCCCCGGCGTCGCTGCGCTCGCCTAACTTGACATCAACTATTCCGTCCCCAGGTGCAACAGGAGTGACGGGTCCACACCCACCAACCCCTCCCGGAGGGGTCGGGGGTCACTCGGGAGCGACGCCTGACTCTCTTGTACCCGGACCGTCAACAACCGTCACTGAGCGTGCCGGGACGGGCCCTTGTGACGGGCCCGCCGCGAGAACGCGCGCCAAAACGCGCAGACTGTTGTGAGGTCGGCCGTTGGGGGGCCTTGCGGACAATGGGAGGGGTGGCGTCCGGAGTGTGTATATATGTTGGTTTTGGGGTGTTTATTCGGGGGGAGCGCGTCGGGTTATTTTTTTTCTCTCTTTCTCTCTCTCTTCCTGTTGTTGTTCTTGTTAAGATTCTCTTGTTCTTGTTAAAAATTACGCGAGACACACACACGGGGTTTTCGTGAGGTATGCACCTTTATTCACGTTTTTTTTGCAGCCAGGGACGGCTGCGAGCTGTACAAGGGGGGGTGATGTAGAGGTGTAATTGCGCACGGCTACGAATGTTGAGGTGTGATTATGCATGGCCACGGATGGCCAACAAACACAAGGGGCGGGGTTACGGCCGTACACAAGGGTGGCGCTCGCACCGACGTCCGAATGTGCGTCCCCCACGGGCCCCCCCTCGGGGGGAGTCCTATAAAAGGTGATGAGCTCGAGGGCTCGAGGTCGGGACTCAGCTTTAACCAGAGAAGACGGAAGACCTGCTAGTGTAGGCCCCAGAGCTCCCCTGGCTCGCTGTCCTTATAAGGGCCGACCAGGGCAAGCCGGTGGCGTGGCCCCGAGAGCCCAGACGAAGCTGGTCTGGTGACTCAGGGAGCCGGGATCCCAGCTTAACCAAGCTGGGACAGATAGCCTCCCCTAGTTCCGTAGTGGAGGAATTGGTATAGGTTAGAGGGGTTAGCTGTCGAGAAATCCCTGTAGCCCAGTGACCTGTAATAACTGTGTTGGTGTAATAAATAAGTGTGCCTCCGATCCTGTCGTCAAGCCTCCATATATACTTACTACAATTGTAAAGTACCCTGGGATGCTGTGCATGAAGAGTGCTCTGTCGACATCCAACCTTATTGTGCTGTCTTGTTATGTGTGTGTGGAGGGGTGGCGCAGTGATTTGTGCAATGCACACTTTCCTGAGTTCAGTCACCTGAGCGTGAGTGACATCACTGGCAAAATGTTATCTGAAGTTGTCCCAGGCTTGCCCTCGGTTAACTTGGCCTCAAATGATTCGTGATTGCCCTGTGGTAAAAACATCGCTGCTGAACGCACGACCTTCCTCTGTGAGTTGAGCCTTCTGCCACAGTGCCACCTGACTGGAAACGGACAAATTCATTTCTATATGTTCATGAGGATGAATTCTAGATTTGAAGCTTTCGTGACTGCAAGGATTCATATTCTTAGGTTTTTTCGGTAAAGTCACGTAGGTAAAACATTAAAATTAATAAAAGTAAAATAAAATAAAAATCACGACGTTTCGGAGGCAACACAAGCTTCCGTCTTCAGGTGGAACCGTCACAGCACGATAGCTGTATCAAGTACATGTACTTGATACAGCTGTCGTGGCTTTGACGGTTCCACCTGAAGACGGAAGCTTGTGTTGCCTCCGAAACGTCGTGATTTTTATTTTATTTAAATTTCTAAATTTTAATGTTTTACCTACGTGACTTTACCGAAAAAACCAAAGAATATGAATATTCATGAGGATGTATTATTATTATGCACTGTTATGAAGTACTCCATGCAATGGCGGAGCCAGGATTTTCAGGAATACGGGGGGGGCAACGCCTCCAGCAATGAAACATGATAGAGGAGTTGTTAGTAAGTAAGGACTTGTCCCTTGATTTTTATTTGACGCGTGTGCGGCGATGGCGCAGCCATCAGTCGGGGGTCGAATTCGAACCGTGTGTGATCGGCATCGTGCTCACTGAAGGTGAATGCCTTCAGGGAAGTCGTGTACTGTATACGCAACTGCGCACAATTCTGTGAATCACCTATAACTGCTTGGCCGTTACTTATTGCCAATTATGGACTCAGAATTTTGTCCTATCATCTCATAGAGTCCCTGGCACGTAATAATATGCTACACAGTGGCAGTGGGCGTCGCAAAATGCCGATTTATTACTAATAAACCCCAATGATCCGATCGAAATTAGGGATTTCGATCGGATCATTGGGGTGATTCGTGCCACCCCCACTGCCTCCGCCAGTGACTCCATGCCATAAAATAAATAAAGATCCATAAATTTCTCACTCAATATTTGCTTGCTTAAACTAATGCGACTGGATAACATTTGTCTTAAAGGCCCATAGGCTAATGGATTGAAACAAATATTTTATTTTATATGGAGAGATGAATAGAAATCTGATTTAAAAATCCAAGAGTTTTCATAGAATGAGAATGATACAGCACTCGTGCTGTGACGGTTCCACCTGAAGACGGAAGCTTGTGTTGCCTCCGAAACGTCGTGATTTTTATTTTATTTTACTTTTATTAATTTAAATTTTTTACCTATGTGACTTTACCGAAAACCTTAGAATATGAATCCTTGCAGTAACGAAAGCTTCAAATCTAGAATGAGAATGTCCCTTATTTTTTAAGTTCGCGTGATCATTGTGGTATCGTGACGCTCAACTGTATTGTGATGCTCACCTCTGGAGGCGAGGGTTGGTGGTTCACTCGGATTTGTGAATCTCCCAAACCCGCTGGGCCGCGTGCTTGGCCAGGAGACGGTGGTGGCAGCAAGTGGGTTCACGATCCCATCTGTGTGGACCATTGAATGTTACTCCCTCATGTGAATCGTGGGCTTTCTCCGGATTCTGCAGTGTCGTCCATTGTAAAGTAAATCTGATCTGAGAATATATATGCAGCAGCGTTGAGGGCCTGAATAACAGTGTTTTTATATGTGACCACCAATGCACCCAGGTTGTCATAGGGGACTGCATGGCTGTAATACGTGACGGTCGGCAGACGGCAGTGCAGCAAAATCCATTGTTCTACCGTACGCCTATCGCCCTCGCCACCCAGCACCGACTGGTGTGGTGAAGTATGGTCACACAATCCCTGTGACCAACACACTGGCGCGTCCTAAATTCATCAATTGATTGAGAATGGCTGTACAGGTTTGACGATGTGTATGTATTTTGTTGTGTAAATTGTCACGTGTTGTGTGCGTATGCTTGACGCGTGCTTGTATGTGTTGATGTGCTATGAAGAAGAGGCCATTGCCTAAGGCCACAGTTTCGATTTAAAGCTTTCGTGACTGCAGGGATTCATCATCTTGGTTCTTTCGGTAAAGTCACGTAGAAGGGAAGTAATAAAATAATAAAAATAAAACATAATAAAATAATTCTCACGACGTTTCGGCTACAACGCAAGCAGCCGTCCTTCTACGTGACTTTACCGAAAGAACCAAGAAGATAAGGCCACAGTGTTATTGACGGACGCGGCACGATTTTTTTTGTTCGCCTAGTTATTTCTGCTTGTGCACCACTGCCAAACGCGGCAGCAGCAGCAGCAGCAGCAAGCAGCATCACCAAATGATGTGTGTGTGTGTGTTGTGTGTAGGCGTGGTGGACCTGTCCCGCAGGAGCCCCATCACCTGCTGGGTGTGCAGCATGTTGTGCTGCTTCGGAGGGGGGATGCTGGCGGCCGCGATGCTCGGGGAGCCCATCCTAGACCCCTTTGAGAGCAATATCAACGTCTTCCTCGCCTCCGTCATCTGGTCAGTCCCCGTCCGCCTCTCTACTCCCAACCCTTACCCACCCCCGCCGTCTTTTAGCCACCCAAGGGTGAACGTTGCCACTGTTTCTCGCTGACCTGCCTAATCTAGGGGCGGTGTGACATGGACGAGCAGCAGCGTGTTCGCCACTGGTGGTTCTAATCTGGCAGGCCACCCTGGTTATTGTTGCGGGTGTGTAATCGTAAAATACGGGCCATCTGCTTGACAGTGAGCGTTAATGATCTCCGGACAAAATACGAAATGAGAAGGCTATTAAGTGCTGGCGTCGTGATCCAAATAACATCAAAATACATGTAAGATACTCTGGATTACGATTACATAAAGCACTTGAACTGTTGCAAATTCTGTGAAACAGATCCTTTCTTTTTGATAGCCTTGTGCTATGTGAATGTCGCAAATACCAAATGTACTAAATCATTATCGTTATGAGTATTAAAGCAGGGTTTACCAAACACAAATACGCGCGTCTGCAAACATCAGCCCTGGTCGGATAAAAGCGGTCAGAGTTGAGTGTTGTTGGCCACCCATGCCGGCCTTCATAGGTGTTCACAAACAGCATTTACCCAGACAGCCTGTTTAAGTCTGTACGGGAGATCTTTGTCTTTGTAACTGTGTGTCGCGTGTGACGCGGAGAGCATTGATTCAAATTAATAAAGAGATCTTGTGTATGTGTGTCCCCCATGTCTGTCCCACGTGACATAGATAACGCTAATTCAAATTAAGATAGAGGTTCTTGTGCGCATATGTGTGTGTGCGTGTGTGTCTGAGGAGCGGTATTGTAGGAGTCAGCACGCTGCCCTATGAAACAAGTGAGCTGAGTACGATTCCCACTCCCAGCCAACGTCGTTGAATATCTGAACCAGTCCTGGGCCTCTAGGTTGATTCAGATTTAATTGAGTACCTGGCACAGTGTGTGAACATCGACACTGGGTAGACAAAGGGGGCTGGGCATGGTGCTGGCCACCCACTTGGGAGTCTTTCTCTTTGTCCCATGTGACTTAAAGAGCCAGATTGATATTGATATAGTTATTGTGTGTGTGCGTCTCACGTGCTGATTTAAATTAAGATAGAGATCTCTGGTGAGTGTGTGTGCATTTGTGTGTGTTCCATGCTTGGGTTCATAGAGGCAGTGCAAATGTAGACCTGGGTGTAATACATATAGAAGTGATTGTGGGCTTCGGAGCTGGAGATGATTTTGCTACGAGGTAGGAGATGCGAGTGAGAAAGGAACAAATTAACCCGTAAAAACAAAGTTTTTCACTATAAATCCTTTATATGCGTGGCGGCTAGAGTCATCTCGTCCTCTGGCTTGAGATGGCTGCCACCTATGGGTCAGATGATTGCCTGCCACCATTAAGCAATTGGTAATTAAATAAAATAAATTTTTTTCCTAAAAAGTGTAACATTTTGGAAAATGTTTTCACGAAAATAAATTGTCACGCACAACGAGTCTGTGTGCAAAATGTCAGCTCGATTGGATCACGGGAAGTGGGTTAAAAAACGACCGAAAGATTTGCACGGTCGTAAGCGCGCAAGCAAGTGAACTTAATATAAAGGATTTTAAAAAGACCAAGGATGGAACCTTGTGGAACACCATAACATAGAACAAGGGATCTATGAGAGGAAGATGGTCCTTGTATGGAAACGTAGGAGCAGCGGGAGAGGAGGGTATGGAGGGAATCGTGGTCTAAAGCAGAGAGAATTGGAGGGAGGCCTTTTACCACGTATCGGTGAAATGTACTTGGTGGACACCAGATTGTACTGGAGATTGTGGAGGGGGGAGGTGCTTGGAGAGGCGGGAGAAGATGACCTTTTTTAGGACATTTCTAAGGCAGGAGAGGTTTAGACAGAGCTTTGCAGGGGACTAGCTTAGATTTCTTTTCAGGGTCTGATTCGCAAGTTGAGGGATCTGGGGGGGAATAGTACCGTATGTATGTTGAACTTCTTTTGTACCGTTCGTAGCCAACCGTGCTAATCGGAGGTGCGGGAAATTGAGGCGTTGACGAAGTTGGCGTGGGTAGACTGTGCGGGATGCGTTTGGTGGATGGAATTTGCCTTTTTTTACGTTAAAGATGATTGTAGTGCTGTCGGTTATGGTGGGTGGTGGGAGAGAGACAGAAGGAGAGGCAACAGGAGGAGCAGAGGCAGACACCAGAATGTCACGTGTCATGCAGTATTCTCACCGTTTTCAGTGAATTCACGCACGGCAACTGATGGGGATTGAGGATGGAACCGGTTTTCGGAGCTGCGGGAGCTGAGTTTACAGTATTATAATCGAGAGCTGCAATTTTACACTTTCAAAATAATCCGTTAATCTGATGGGGGGGGGGGGCAGTGAAACTCTTTTTGAACATGGGGCTCAAATTTTGAATTTTCCGATCTCCATGCAGATTGCTGGAGAACGTTTCGTCACGTTAGTGAGAGAGCTGTGCCTCTGGTTAGCGACATTGGTGACACGTTCGCTTACGGCAGCGGGCGTGGTAGCATGATCACGCGACATGCTGATGCTGTTCAAACCCCACCCTGCGGGCCTGCAATTTGCTGTCGATTACAGCTCAAATGACTGTAATAAAAAGCACAGAATTAAATTTGCATGGAATTTACATGAATAGATTTCCTAGGATTTGGCTGCCGGTTAATTGATTACGAAACATAAGCGGTTCTTAATTTTAATAATCGATCAATAGTTTCCAGCATTACTGAAAAAATGCATTGTGTTTTAAATTGCCACTTCGGCCCTTGGTCTTTCCTCTTTCTTCCTTTCTTCTCTCTCCCCATTGAAATCCTCACGTCCCTACGCACGGTCCCTACTTGACTGGGGCAGCGAGCCCAATTGCACCCCCCCCCCCCCCCCCCCACTTTGTACAGTTCCGCCGCGAGTCGCCGCTGGCGTAGTTTCAGTTCCCCTCCAACGGCGATCGGCGTATCGTACTGGGCTCGCGTTGTGTCGCAATAAAAACATTAGGAAACAAAAATGCAAACTGACCTCGTTGCTGCAAAATAAAAAAAAAACACATGGGCTTTTTCTCGACCAATATTAACCTAATTCTTGGTTCTTTCGGTAAAGTCACGTAGAAGGGAAATAAAAAATTTAATAAAAAATATGAATTATATATTGTTTTACATTTTTGTATTATTTTTTTATTTCACTTCTACGTGACTTTACCGAAAGAAACAGGAATATGATTCCCTGCAGTCACGAAATCTTTAAATCGAAATATGAACCTTAATAGAGGTTTTTATTTTGGGTTAATGTGTCGTCAAACCCGCCACCACCCGACACAGCCAATTAGTAAGTTTGTCACATGAACAAAACATGCCAATTCGTCACTAGTTCAGCACACCGGTCTGTTGGAGAGTAAACCCGCAGCATTTACAATTCGAGTAGGACTTTTTGCCGGTAATTACAGCCAGCCTCATCAGCGACAGCCAGAATTTGCTTCTTGTAGGCTGAGCCACCACACACACACACAATCATGGAGAGCATCTCGATCACTGGACATGCGTTGTAAACGTCCTGCAGCACGCACGTGCACATGTACGGCCCTTCGCCACCTCCCCCACTGGATGAAGCTCTCCCCGCCACACCACCTGGGTCGTGGGTGTTATTTGACCATACTTCACCACGCTGGTCAATAAGGGTTGGCGAAAATGGGGAGCGCGTATCTGACGAGATCGGGCGCATTCCGAGTGATTTGGTCATAAGCTTGCGTAATTAACTTCTGCACTTTCGGGAGTTCAGACAATGTAATTACAAGAGTAGCGGCCTGTGGTTATAACTGCACAACATTCGAGAATGGATGACGTATCCGAGTGCAATTAATTTGGGGGAATGCCAGTCTAAAATTAAGAAACTAAAATATATATATTTTTTATTTACCAGGTAAGGCCCACTGAGATATGTAGCTGTCTTTCAGAACCGACCTGACCACAAATGATAGCTCAACGAAGTGGCTTATCACGTGGAAATTTATAGCAGCCACATACTCTAAACGCGTGTTTTTATGTGGATGAAAAAACTGGAGGACTCGGAGAAAAATCCACACAGCCACGGGGAGAGAGATACATGCAAACTCCAAATATACAGCAGGCGTCAAGGTTGGGATCGAACCCACGACTTTCTGCATACCAGGCGAGGTAGTTAACATCTCGCCACTGTGACGCCCAAATGACATGATACATTTACATTTTAAAACTGTCAATAGCACCCATCTTCAACCACACTCCTCTGTTGACCTTTCTGCCAGCCATTGTGGCTATTCAAAGCGTGTGCGTGCGTGTGTGCCTTGTCTCTATTGTGGGACCGTTTCTTGAAAAAGTCACGTTTCTGCCGGACACTGCTTTTGCTTGTAAGCAAGCAGCGTGTATGTGTCCTCATTTGCAAACGTGACCCAGGTCACTCGTGCAAATGAGGCTCGCCCTGGATCTCCTTCAGAACTCACCGAGTCAAACAAAATAGTTTGAAACGGTTTTGTCGACGCTTCGGCCGAGAATGGATGGAAGACAATTGGCAACTATATCAGGTCTGGATGAGTTAATTTTTTATGAATGCTAAAGGGAAGCCTGTGACCAAACCACCCGTGGAACGCGTCCCGGTCTCATCAGATCTCGATAGCTAAGCAGAGTTGAGCCTGAATAAGTATTTGCATGGCTAACCGCCATGCATGACAGATGTTATAGGCTGCTGCAGTGCTACATGATGGGCAACAGAGGGCAGTGTGGAAAAAAAAAACCTTGGTGTACCATAAAATTAAATGAATTTGATGAAAAAATTACATGCAATTTGCATATGCTTTTAATCAATACATTTCATTCCGCACAGAAGGCTAAATAAAAATTTCAACCCAGGATTTGGCTGCCTATTAATTTATTACAAAGCATAAGTGGTTCTTTAGTGTAATCATTAATTGATTATAAATAAATAAACTATTCATAATTGCTTAATCATTTCGGAATTACTGCAAACACTTTTCCACGTGCGTCTATGCTCTCCGCCTTTTAACAACCAGGCTGGCCATCGTGGCGAAGCATGGTCCAAAAACCGCCACAGCACGACACGGCATGCTGGGGGGAGGGAATCCCTGCATCGACAAACTGGGGGGGCTCTTAAGTAATTTACGTGCGAGATTGGCTGCCGCGCTCTTCGCACACACGTGCACTTCAATTCAGTCGTCACTTGGAGGGAATATAACGTTGAGCTCTCTCCCACGTGGCGTTCCCCCATGAGCGCTGCGTGTGAATGCCCGTGTAAATTGCCAGGACCGCCGCGTGTATACGTTAAAAACGCCATTGTGGATTTAAATGGGTTCCCAGAGCTGGCTGGGAGAGAGGGGGGGGGGGCATTTCGCTTGGGAATGAGGCCAAGAGAAGGCCGTGCATGCCACTTTCCCAGAGCAGATACGGAGTGGGCGGGGGGGGGGGCAGCAGAGGCTGGGTAGTGTGGGGAGTGGCGCTCGCTATCTGCGTTTTTTAACCCAGAAGTTCAAACTCATTTTCTCCATTTAAAAAACACTTAAGCAACAGGGTTCCGCGTGACATGCCGGACATCCCCTAAGGCCCCCCCCCCCCCACCCAGCAGTTGCCCCGGGAACGGCTGGAAGGGGGCGTCGATTTAGGAGCCCCGTGGGGGCAAGCCTGCTTGCCTTTGTGCACGATAACGACCGCGGGTGGCCGGTGGGAAGGTGCGCAATAGATCGGTCTCATCGCCGAAAACCCGGCCCGTGAGAAAATCCCAGCGTGCGTTTATTGGTACAGTATCATTGACGTGTGCGTGTGTTGAGAGCGATGGGGTCGTGATTTGTGCACTGCCCATCCGATACCAGTGTATGTATAATTATAGAGGGTGAAGCGGAGGTGCAGTGGTTTCTGCACTGCACGAGCAACCCATTTGGCCGGCGACCTCTAAACCCCTCCTGTGCCTCGCCCCGGTCGACTTGGCCTGAAAACGAGCATCTGGTGCAAGTGTGTAAAATATCAGCAGCGCAGATATTTAAGGCGTCCTTGGCATGGCGTTGGCCACATCACCTGTCCTGTGCGATGCTGACCTTAATAGGTACTTGCGAACAGAACCTGCCTCCAGCAGCCTGTGAGGCTAAGTGGAGGGCATTTGTCATTGTGGACACACGCACAAAGACAAAGATCCCCCGTATAGCCTGAACAGACTGTTGGGGCAAGTGCTGTTAGCGAGCACCTATGAAGGCCAGAACAGCACATGGAAGGGTGGGTAGCCAGCACCATGCCCGCCTTTGTCTCCCCATTGGAGATGTTTACACACCGCACCAGGTACTCATTTGAGGCTGATTCGACCTAGGGGAGGCCCAGGACCGTTACAGATAATCGTCACTGGCGTTGGCCGTGAGCGGGAATTGAACCCAGGTCGCCGAATTCGTAGCGCAGCGCGATAACTACGCACACACGTGCGCACGGGTCTTCCTTTCTTTTGCTCATTACCAGATCAGCGCATGGTGCGATACAAAAGTTTATCCGACCGATTGCCCGATTGACGTTTATCACCCTTGCTTGATCTTGGTGCCATCTCATCATCAATACCATTCACCACCTGCCCTCCCCCACTACGCCCATCCCTCTTGGGTACACTCAGAACACCACTTTTTAAATTTAGCCGAAAGATTGTGTCAGGACTTTGAATGTGCAAAAAATAGCGGCGCGGGAGCACGGGGGACAGCTTTTCCGCGCAGTGTCGTGTGTCCGAGGAATCCGAGAGCTCGTTGCGGCCTGCGCCGTAAAGGGATTGGTGCTGTCGACGGCATGCGCAGCCCTCCCCCGCTCGCCTGACTCTGCGCTCGGTTAATTTTAAGCAGGCGCCGAAAATGTATTACGTAACACGGCCATTGTTGAACGCGCACGCACGCGGTGGTTACGCAAAGCACCGTGCATTTTATTTTCTTGCACTGGGGTTAAATTCAAAGTTTGTGGTGTTTTTTAAAGGCTTTAAAATACATCATCTCTACCCCATACATTTCGTCTGTCCATCCATCCTTAACAGGTGTTGGGGGGGGGGCACTATAATTCTAGATTGGAAGCTTTCACTTGATACAGTAAATTTAGCTGTGACGGTCCCACCTGAAGACGGAGACTTGTGTTGCCTCCGAAACGCCGTGATTTAATTGATTTATTTTCATTTATTATTATTTTATTTCTATTATTTTTTACCTACGTGACTTTACCGAAAAAACCTAAGAGTATGGGGCACTATAACTTTAGTAAATATAATCCAATAGTTACAAACCCGCAGAATAAAGGACTTGAAAATCGGCTAAATTGATTAAAGGGTTATTGCCTAAAACTTGTATACACACAACAAAGCAAAATGGATTCGCGGATTTCCAAATATGCAAACACAGTTTCTCTGATGACCTCCCGTCGGCTTATCCTCTTCTATTCCCCCATCTGATTGAGCGGTGAGAGTGTGGTTGTTTCCTTCGCACTTGTCTGTCGCTGTGCTGCGTCTTTTAACCGAGACTGTTTCCATCGACGTCCAGTTCCATCGTGGTCTTCCTCCTGCCATGGAACCTTCCAGTGTCCCCTCTTGTCACCATCCTTTGCAGCCTGTCGCCATTCCTCCTGCAGCCTTGTCTGACATATTGCAGTTTCATGTACCTGCCATGACTTAGGGGGTTTCATTCTGCACCACTCGTGAAATATACCCCACCAGACAAACACGTTTTGAAAAGCGTTATGTAACCCGTGCACGATTTACACAACTAGTGTTTTTATCTTAAGGACCTCCGTTGATGTGTCTGGCCATGTGTTCATCGCCACATAGCTGAAATATTTTTAGCGCTGTATGGAATCTTCCATACTCCCATTGACGTGAGCCAAGATTCAGTTTGCAAACTTGAACTTCTAGTTAGACTGGATTTCATAATATTAATATTTTTTCTTCACTTAATTTTGGTGAGCCGAGCTCCAAGGACTTAAATATATATATACCGCATGACTGCAGGGCTACTTTGTGAGCAGCAGAGGTGCTGTGGCGCAACATCCAGCATTGTGCAGAACTATGCTCCGGTGACTATACACCCCCGCGTTCACTTGCCGGACGCGGAGCGAAACTGTTCCTGAAAAGCTCCAAATGCAACGAAAAGCGAAAAACGTCAGGCAATGTTCCGAACAGCCCGATCACATATGCCATACAGCGCAACCGCAAACACCTATGCAGCGATGTATGTATGTTGAACTTCTTTCGCATCGTACGTAGCCACCCATGCTAATCGGAGGGTGCGGGGAAAGGAAAACAATGTCGAGAAATACATTTTCAATCGAGATGTTACAAACCAGAGGTCGCAACCAGGTACCCAATACCCGTACCCTACCCGATACCCGGCTACCCGTACCCGGCTGGGTACGGTTACGGGTACCCGTTTGCGACCCTGGTGCGGCCGGGTACGGGTAAGGAATCAAAACCCGTTTGCGATCTCTGTTACAAACGTACTCGCTCTCCGCCCCGGTCCGGCTGCAGGTACATGATCTTCTACTTCCCCAAAGACCTCTACTACCGCCTGTGCTCGCTGCTGCCCGTCAAGCTGTTTGTGGTGGCCGGCAAGGAGGTGACGCGCGTGCGCAAGATCGCCGCCGGCGTGGCGCACGCGCACCACGTCTACAAGCGCGGCTACGTCGTCATGGTCGCCGTCGGCATCGCCAAGGGTGGGTGGCGGTGCCACGCGCGCGTCTGTCTGCGATCGTTTCCGTCCCGAGCCGGTTGCCACAGAGTTCCCACGTTACTCGCGGCGGGTCGTCGGTGCTCGCGTAAATATACCATGGGGGAGAGGTGAGAGGGATGATGGGCCTGTGACTGCGATTTGAACGCCCAACCTTGTGATTTATGAGTTTGAGTTTTCTAAATACTTTTCCGCCTGCCTGGAGATTTTCATTATCAGCAGCAAGTGGCATAGCGGGATTGGCTTGGCAAAGAATGAAATGGGGCCCCATATCCACCTTTACCCCCCTGACCCCCCCCCCGAGGCTCTTGGTTCCGCGAGCTCTTGCGCAGTTGCACCGTCTGCACACCTCATAGCTACACCACTGATGATAGTGATAGCTATTTTGTCCTGATTGTGCTATCAGTATGAGACCTCCTTTACCATTGGTAAAATATAGTAGTAGGTTTTTACCCTTTAAACTGGTACAAAACTGACACCTTTATACAAGGCATCATGTTTGCAATAACCACAACACAAGTAGTCAAAATGCAAACAAAAAGAAACAACTCTGATAATGATAATAGGTGTCATCTGGTCCAACACCAATGGAGACTAGGCTCTAAGGAAAGCTGTCTCGGGTGTGGACCAATCAACTTCAAGGACAGTGCATATTATTATCATTATCAGAGTTGTTTCTTTTTGTTTGCATTTTGACTGCTTGTGTTGTGGTTATTGCAAACATGATGCCTTGTATAAAGGTGTTAGTTTTGTACCAGTTTAAAGGGTAAAAACCTACTATTATACTGTGCAATCAGTGTCATGTGATGCGATGAATCCCATTGGGATCTCTCGCACAACCCTTCGTGTTAGAGAACGGCCCACGGAAGCAGATGCCAGAGGGCTACCTTCAGAACTACCTCTCATGGTCTGCACAGTAGGGGGCAGCACTTTTCCACCTGCCCTTCTGCATAGTGTAACGTTTGTCGCACGACAGCAAGAACGATATTTTACATTCTCAGCGCATGATACAATATTCTGCGCGGTCAACGATGGCCGGGCTAAGACCAACCACTTGCTACACTTGAGACTCGTATTTAATCACAGGTGGTCATCTGGATTTGAAACTCAGGATCTTAGCGGTGCCCTGACCTCTGAGCTACCAGGCTATCGGCAGAGGCTTAACTTTTCATCCCATGACGTCGCGGTGGTGAGATGTTAATCTCCCTCGCCTGGTATGCTGGAGGTTGTGGGTTCGATCGAGACTAACTCCTGCATATTTGTAGTTTGCATGTTCTCCCCGTGGTCACGTGGATTTGTCTCCGGGTCCTCCGGTTTTTCTCTCCACATTTAGAAACATGCGTCTAGGGCATTTGTGGCCAGATCACTTCTGAAAAAGAGCTGTCGAGCTCAATGGGCCTTCGCTGGTGAAAATAAAGTTTTGTTTAGATTCCGATAGCACAATCAGGTTAACTTAGGAGTAAAGGGTAACAAAACAACTAAAAAAGGTGAAGAATCTTCCAGTTCCAATGAGCATGTGGCGTTAGCCACCACGAATCGTGTCCGCGCAAGAGTGAACAAGAGACCAATGATGTTGCACATTGTGCACATTCACAGTGCGTGTAAGGCGACTTGATTTAGAGATGGGTCCAAACTTTCACCTGACAGCACCGCCCCACCCTCCATCGTATTTTCTCCGGCCGCTCGCTACCACTCCCTGCCTCCCGGGCCATTCAGTGGTGCGCGTGTCCGCCCTGGTGCGTGTTGATGCCTGTCTGCAGGTGCCGGGAGCGGACTTCTGGCGAACCTGGAACAGCTGCTGCGCGGAGTCTGGAAACCCAACACCAACGAGCTGCTCAACATGTCCTTGTGAGCGCCGTGTTCACACGCACGCTCGTGCGCACACACACGCCGCACGCACACACACTCAAACGGACGTGCACGTACTCTGGGAAACGTGTGACTGTGCACGTGTCCACACGCGGGCGCGCACGAACGTTCGCACACACACACACGTGCATGCATGTACATACACTAGCGAATGCACACGCGTGTGCACAAAAATCGCACACAAGCATGACCACATACACCCGTGCGCACACACACATACACTTGGACATGTGCGCACATACCATGGCTAGCCAAACAAAGACAAAGATCTACCTGTAGGCTTAACAAACCATTGGGACAAGATATGTTAGCGAGCACCTATGAAGGCCAACATACGCACTCATGCACACGCACGTATGCATGCCCAGCACTTATTAAAATGGACCAAATATTCCAATGCATGATCGTACTGAAGAAGTGTATTGAGACACAGTGAGTAAATGAAGAGATTACTATATATTTTTTGATATAGCCCAGAACATTTGAGATGTCTTTGTATTTGCAAAGGCATGCAATGTCAAACATAGTAGCACTCAGCTCTAGCGGTAGACAGCGAGCGTCTTGCCGTGCGAACGCCAAGCAGAGGTCAGAGCTGACACCGCTGAGATCCTGGGTTCACATGCAGGCAACCGACTGATAAACCAGGCAATCGAGTGTAATGACTCACCAATGACTGCACAACAACAACAAAAAAGCTATTGCCTTGAAATTTGGTTCGGAAATTTTCTGGTTAAATTCCAGCTCTGAGAATTAAAAATATTGGTTGTGACTGCCGTGCAATGAACGTTGACTCTCATATGGCAGGACGGGCGGGAGAGTGCTGCCCCCTACTGTGTGGGCCAGAGGGCACTTGGGGGGGGGGTGATCTCAGAGGTGGTGGCCTTGTGGTGGCATTCTCCAAGACAAACTGCTCTGCGAGAGATCTGAATGGACACTTCGTCTCATGCCATGATAACTACTGCACAAATGTGATAAAATGGGGGAAATTATATATATGTCAAAAAAAGTATGCCACTGAGATTTCTGGCGATGTGAGTGGCAGGGGGCTGCATGGATCGTCTGTGTTGTGTAAATAACGACTGTCGCTGCCCCCCCCGCCTCCCGACCTCGTAGTCCCACTAAGGCGACGCTGCTGGGAGCCGTTCTCTTCACAGTAGAGGCCGCCGGATGGCTGCCACTCTCCGAGGAGTTCCTCATCCTGATCGTCACCATCTTCCTCGTCACCACAAAGGTCAGGGAGGACGCCGGTGACGTTTTATGTTCGGGGGCGGTTGTGTGCGGTTGAGTTCCGAGGTCATTAAAGGCAAAGTGTGGCCCCATACTTAATGGTGTTTAACGCGGGCTTATTGGCCATGAGTTATTGAGAAAGTCTTTGAATCGCAGTGAGGTTTGCTGCTGCTGTAGCGCTTTAGTGACATCACTCCGTCGATGTTGTGTTGAAATTTACATGAATGATGTCACTGGGGTGTAAATCGCTTTGCCGTGGTAATGGCGCCGGTGATTGTACATATCCAAGTGGGATGTGGGGGCGCACCTTGGTTTTCGTGCATTACGCCACCTTACCATATATGACGGAGGTAAAATTCCTGGTCATTAAAATAATTGGAAAATTGTACGCGAATCCCTCCTGGTCCTCCCCTCCACGCAAAATAAATGCCTGGCCCTGCGCGTGTGAAGGGGCCTGATGTTGGCCATGCCGCCCTTATACAAGCGTAGGCTTGTGGGGTTAGGCCGCGAGCATTTTCTATCTCAAGCTTGCACCACGACCGACTGCAGGCTGGTATGCTTCAGCTTTAGACAGGCAGCTGTCTTCAAGTCCTCGTCAGGGATGAAGAGTTGAAGGTGCCCGCAAATAGTGCGTGATGAAAGCCTGAGAGAAGAAATGCTGAAAACGTTGCCCAACCCCGAAAAGGGCACTTGGATTACGAACAGCTGCGAAAAGCTACACGTTAAGCACACCGCTTACCCATCGTTGCTCGTGGCCTGCTCCATAGAACAGCTGATCCGTATAAGAGCGCTCGCTGTGACAGACCAGCACAGACTAATAAGACAAAGCCCCTCTGTGTTTCCTCTCGCCCTGCCCGTGCGTGCGCTCGTGGCATGCGACAGGTGATGCTCACGGCCATGCACTCGCACGCCTCGCCCTTCGACCCCATCGAGACGCCGCTGTGCGGCTTCCTCTTCGGCGCGGCGCCACCCGACTCGGAAGGCCACGGCCACGGGCCATCGTCGGGCCCCGCCGCGCCGGCCCAGCAGGGCAAGGCAGAGCCGACGGAACCGGCGCTGCGCAAGCGCAAGAGCAAGAAGGCGGAGTGAGGTGGTGCCGTGCGCCAGCTCGCGGAGAAACATTGCCGCCGCTGCCGCCAGCGCCGTCGTCGTTTTTTGTTGTTGAGCGACGAGGTCGGTCGTTCAGGTAGCGCGGTTCAAACCCCCCTCCCCCCCCCATCCCTCCTGCGCAAACAACTCCAGCGTCAGTGGAAAGTTAGGGTTGCCGCGATGTGGCGATGCTACGGTACGTTACACGATATAGGATTCACGATAGTCGAACCGTCAATTGGGAAAAATGTTGCCCAATCGTGAAGATCGTGGCTCACTTAATTTACGCTAAAAGTTTACATTTCCTGACAATTTATGTGAAATAACGATAATCAAAAGTTCACGATCATAATAACAGAAAAGCACTAATTACCTGTTAAGTTAGCGCTTTGTGAAATGCTTTCCACAATAATTGACGGCACGGCGGTTATGAGCGTTGCGCAGTAGATTGTAGAGTTCCAACGATTTGAGGAGATGTATGGCAGGAATATGTTGAGTGAACTACTGTTTAGTAATTATCAATGGACATTTATTCGTACTTTAAGTACATACAAACATGAGACGGTAAAATATTTGAAATTCATTTACCCAATTAATGGGAACTGATACACATAAATAATTGTGAAGTTGAATACCGTATCAAATCGTGTAGGATGATATCGCGGCAACCCTGGTAAAGAAAACCTTGTCTGTTTGCATGAATGATTAATGTTCCTTTGTTTTTCTTAAGATCACCACTACAGCACAGGCAGCAAAGGAGTTGTGTGCAACGTTTGTTTTTCGTTCACCTGTTGTGCCATGTGAACAGGGCTACGTTGAAAGTAACGATCCGTCGATTAATATATTCTCTTACACTTAACGGCACGCGGTCAGGCACACACACGGAATCATACGTGTTAGAATCGGTAATTCATGGGCCCGATGAAATTCTAGACAGAATTGTCCAAAAAAATTGCCGACAAAAAGGATCGACTGTTATGTTGAATCGCGACGATTAATGATTAGAGGCCACGGAGTATTATGAGTTGTTACCTGCCTATGAGTTGTGTTGTCTCCCAGCACCACTGTAGGTGCGTGCGGCAGCAGTAAGGCAGCACCGTCTGCCTCTGAGACTCCATGCTTATTCTTACACTTTGCAGAACTCGTGTTGTAGTGCAGCTACCTCTGCAGGCGGATTATATGTCCACAATTGGGGGGGAGGGGAGAATGGGGGGGGGGAATCACATGAATCGTCCTATTGAGTGGGGGCAGTTCAATGAATTGTGGGCTGGAGTGTGATTCTAAACTTGTCGAGAGCTGAGATTTAACACACAGGAGTGCAAAGAAATATTGGCCAATTCCATATAGGTGGTGGCATCGGTGAAGTTAACGTGCTAAGTTTAAATGTTTAAGCACAATGGTTTCTGTGCATCGCTGTCTTGCATAGTTAACAAAGCGTACGACTCATAAAATCACTGACGTTGAGTTTGTTTGTTGAAAGGCATTCAGCTGGCAAAGGGGAATTGAGTTTTTTTCGAGTGGTGAAGTGTCGCCACCGGGTGTGTGACTGGCATGTCGTGGAGGTTAACCCGGTAGCTCAGAGGTCAGGGACACGGGACAACGGGTTCCAGTCCGTGTTTAAGTCAGCCGTGGTTTTAAACTGGTTTCTCAAGCGTAGAGAGTTGATGGCCTACTCCCAGCCACAAATTACTGAACAAAGCAATATATATATTTTTCACCTGGTATGGCACATTATAGCTGTTAAAAATTCAACATTTTGGTTGAAATGCCATTGTGACTTAACGCTCTTTTGGAGGGCATATAAAGGGTTTGTTTTAGATAAGACGCCTAGGCAAGTGACTGAAGTGACTTCAAAAGTAGTTGCGATGTACTCCGGGGGCTGTTCTGCGATGACACAATGTGATTTCACTCATCTCTCTTGTGAGCTTTCCTGATGGAGATCTCTGCATTATCATGGCATGAATAGCTCAATTGTAAAATAATCATAATTTACAGTCTGTTGTCAATCCACTGCTGTATGAAGGCCTTCTCCATGCTGCACCCTGTCAGTTATGGAGGTTGTTTGATCATACTTCACCATGCTGGTCAGTGCAGGCTGGTGAAGGTGTGTGGAGAGGGGCAGAAATGGTTCGGATATCTCTGGCCACTGATAATGCTGTCCGTGGCCGGGAAATGACCTCAATTTGACTGGGTTCATAGCGCGTCGCTCCAACCAGGGCGCCACCGACGCTGTACCCAATTTAAATGTAATTTGGATTCAGAATATTAATTGAGTGAAATGTTGATGCCCGTTTATTATAGGTCTTGTGGGATGAACACATTTTCATCTTGAATTATTCTGGGAAATTTCCTTTACGGGGTTCCTCTGTGCCTTTTAAGCTTCATCTCTTTCAACTTGGAACGACACTTAAAGGACGTAATGTAGAAACATAATTGCCGTTTTTTTCTACCGTGAGGTAGACTCACGAATTAAGTATTTGTAAAGGTTTGCAGTGGGGACCTATGATGTTTTAGAAAGGCAAAATTAATGACATAATTCAGGGGGAAAAAAGTATTGAAGCTGTGTTTAAACATTGTCATCTTTTCATGGATAAGATATATTTTTTGCACTGATAAAATATTTTGTAGGAACAGTACTTAAGCAATATATGCACATTTTTAAATTCACTAATGTCATGGCCAGATAAATTGAAATGTTTCATCAGGATTTCGTTTTTTTCTATGTAGACGTTTATAAGCCATCGTTTGTAAGTAGATATTTTTACTAAACGTTTAAATCTTGGCACGCTGACAACAAAATATCTGCGAAACGTAAGCAAGGTGCCCTCTATACATTCGCAGCGGCTTTAACTGAGATTAGCAAATGCAGGTGATCAAAATTATGAACTATTATTTTTTGACAGAGATCAATATGTATATGAAATTGCACAAGTAGCTGGCGATGATTAAAACACCCGGGGTGATCAACAGGCATTGTGGTATTTATTGCCTGGTGTTTGGCCTTGCATAACTACTTTAGTTATTTTTCGATTTAAAGCTTTCGTGACTGCAGGGATTAATCTTCTTGGTTCTTTCGGTAAAGTCACGTAGAAGGGAAATAATAAAATAATAAAAATAAAACATCGTGAGAATTGTATTTTATTATGTTTTATTTTTATTATTTTATTATTTCCCTTCTACGTGACTTTACCGAAAGAACCAAGAAGATACTTTAGTTATTTTTTGTGATTTGTTTATCAAAAAGAGGGGAGGGTGGTGGTGGGGGGGGTGACCCTCTGTTGACCCCCTGTTGACCCCCCCCCCCCTTCCTCTGGAGCACGGCAGAGGCAGCAAGCTTGTGAACCTGGCGCAGGCCTGCGGCTTACGACGACGCCGTGGATCACGCTCTGTGCTCACGTTTTTTGCGTGTTTGGAAAACATTTTGTGCAGCTTTATTCGGGTTGCGTGGCTTGTAGGGCTTGTGGTATGCGGCACTCACGCGCGCGTTGACGTGGCAAGTGTGAAAGTGCAACCGAAGGTCCCCCCCCCAACTGGTGTCGACTACGGTTGTACAAAAACCACGTGGGCTTTGTAGCGTGTCCGGTCGCCAAGTCAAGTCGGTTTTTCCCTCCCCCCCCCCCCCCACAACCTCCCCAAGCTCAAAACGAACGTCGTTGGGTGGTGCTATTCATGTCTGCTGGCGGTCCCGAAGCAGTGATGGAGAATAACATTCCTATCTTCACGGCCCACCCAGATTCTCCACACAGAGAGACGGACACCGTGTTGGAATGTCGAAATTCCATGTCGGGGGGGGGGGGGGGAACCGTAGAAAATCTTGACTGAAATGAGACAACGTTAGATTTTGAAGCAAATTCTTACTCGTAGTCTCTGTAAAATGAGCTTGGTATCCTGCTTCTTGGCTAACCCTAGACCTATGGCTAATCATAGCCCTATCTCTAAGCCCTCATCAAGCCCGAGTTCTATGCCACTGATATGCCCAATACCATGCGAATCGTAGTGTCTGATTTGGAGAGCGAGTGTCCTCTTTGTTAGCACACAATGTCGAGATTCGCTTAGCCTCACCCGCTCTCATGGACAGGGTGATCCACGTATAGACACCCCAACAATGTTCAATGTACCTTTTAGTTAAAATTGCCATTGAAGCTGTAAACAAATCGCACCGGCTACAAGGCGTATCTCGAGAGGGTTAACACATGTGTAATACGTCTCCATACTGAGATTGGTGGGAGACACGCAGAGGCTTTGAAAATTAAAATGCTGCCGTCTTACATGGTTTTTTTTCATTCTAGCGGGGTGTCTCTAAATGGATCGCCCTCTGTAGAGTATCCGACTTTTAATTGCCACGCTCATGGCCACGTGTAGTGACTGCACTCGATCTTGTCTCACCCTTGGAGCGCATTGCATTCGACACGACCGACGTGCACCCTCGTGACCTGTGCCGTCTGCCACTTAGGGCCTTAATGGATTTAATTTTTATGCTCGGTGATGGCGTTGATTATTGGTATGCTGGCACGCGAAATGCATGTGCGCAAGGTTTTTTTTTGCTTTGGTGTGAATTTATGTGTTTTGCCTGTTCGGGTTAATTGCTGAATGTGAATGTTTCATGTAGATTGTAGTAAGTTAACTAACGGAGTTGACATTTTATTTATTGAAATTTAAATAAAAAAGGTGCATTTTTGAAATTGTCAAGTCAGAAAATAAAAAAGGATTGTCTTGGTGTCTTTGAAATGACTGGGTTCTGAGAAGGTACGGCAGAACAGCCCATGAGGTTATTATTTTCTTGAACTCATGCTGATTTAAAGCTTTCGTGACTGCAGGGATTCATATGCTTGGTTCTTTCGGTAAAGTCACGTAGAAGGGAAACAATAAATAATACAAATATAAAACAATAAAATGTTCCCACCTGATGATGATTGCTTGTGTTGCAGTTGAAACATGAGAATTTTATTGTTTTATATTTTTATTATTTTATTGTTTCCCTTCTACGTGACTTTACCGAAAGAACCAAGAATATGAACTCATGCTGTAATTGTTATCGTCTCCAGATCATAAAACACATTTCCCCCCCTGCATAATAAAGCAAGGGTTGGGGTGTGTTTGTGTGTCTTAATCTGGTAGATGTGTGTGTGACCAGATTGTGTCGCTTGGTGCCGGGTACACGTTTGGGCGTGTCCTAATCTCCAGAGCGTCTTATAATCTGGAGAATGCAGTGCGGACGACAATCACACGAGTATTTTATACCACAGCGTAGACAAAGACTACATGTACTCCCTACCATTGCATTTTCAATGTATCGTGTTGCTTGTCAGTAATAAAGGTGTTTGGAAAATCAATATAGCAGGACAGAAAAAAAACAATTATTTTCCTTATTTTTTTTACCTACGTGACTTTACCAAAAAGAACAAAGAGTACTTCAGATATATTTAACTCAAGGCGCTATATAACTGTAAAGATCCTGCCGAGTGGTGGCTATGCGTGTCTGTAATCCAGCACCACAGCCCACTGCTGCTGCTGCAGTGAATGTGCAGCAGCAGCAGCACCATCGTTCAATCCAAGCGGACTTTTAATAGACACCTTAATCTCCACGGCCACGAGTTTATTAAAGGCTCGCCTCTTGCGCCTGCCTTTCGAGCACCACAGTCTTGCGCGTGTTGTAAATTGCATTATTGTTTGAAGGTGCAGCGGTGTGACTGTTCACATACATCCAAGTTATCATCACGAGGGGGTTGGGTGGGTGGCCAGCTCCACGCCCGCCCTGCCTTTGTATCCCCAGTGGCGATATTCACACACCGTACCAGGTACTCGTTTGAGGCTGAGTCGACCTAGGGGAGGCCCAGGCCCGGTTCAAATCATCGCCACTGATGGTGGCCGTGAGCGGGAATCGGAACTCGGGTCGCACTACAGCTCCCCCACGCATCCCGTTAGTTGCATTGCGCCATACGGCTTTCACACGACCCGTAGACCTATACATATGCACCCGTATACAGAGATCCATGGACTTAACATCGATGCCAGAAGTCCCACTACCGCATGGGTTCAGCTGCCCAGATGTTCTTTCCTCTCGTCACATCCACTGCATCTTCTGGATGAAACCCCCGTCCCTCCCTCCCTCCTCGCAAGAGAGGCGATGCTTCTGTCGTCTCGTGCAAAGAGCTCGTAACCACACCCCTGGCTTCGATATTTAAACGACCCAATGTCCGATTCACAAGCACGAAGGGGGCATGAACCACACAATACCTCGCTGATCTTGGCAGGGAGCATCAACCACCACGCGAAGTCCGGTCGTCCTCACGGCGAATTCTGACTTGCCATCGAACAAAGGCGGCCACTGCATCGCGCGCTTTCAGATGCGCTCCTGCGGCCGTCTGGAACGTTCTTCCGATATTAGGAAGCTTAAATCGAGATGGAAAACATTCATTTAGAACAGATTTTTACGTGTGGTTCTTCTCCCGCACACCTGATTCGCACGGTTAGCTACGTACGGTGCGGAGGAAGTTCAACATACACGGACATCAATCACGGCAAACCACTCCGCTGGCCCCGATTGCAAATGATGTGGCTCAACCATTGCGATCTAAAATAGCGGGCGTTTCTCCACTGCGTCGACATCAAGCCACACGAAGATGGGTTCACGTCATCCCCTGGAGAGATGACGGAAGCAAACAAGGGGATTCTGGTCGCAACAAAACGTCGCACTCGAATTGTAAACGTTGTGGGTTTGTTTTGTTTAAGCGCACCCGTGTGCTGAAGTAGTCACTAATTGGAACTTTTTTGTTTACGTGACAAAACTCATTTGCTGTATCGGAGTGGTGGCGGCGGGTTTAACGACACCACATTTATATTTTCGCGATCGAACTCCCCCAAAAAAAACCTCTTGTGAACAAAAATCTGGGGGCCGTGCAGTTCCCAAATCTAGCCACTGGGTGGCAGAATGACAACACGAACACCCTCAAACCCAACGCATTCGTCAAGAAGTGTGACCTTTCGATTTAAAGCTTTCGTGACTGCAGGGATTCATCTTCTTGGTTCTTTCGGTAAAGTCACGTAGAAGGGAAATAATAAATTAATAAAAATGAAACATTAATATTTCTCACGACGTTTCGGCCACAACGCACGCAGCCGTCCTCAGGTGAAGAACAGGTCTGTCGGAAAGAGCGAAAGAACCAAGAAGAAGTGTGACCTTAAAAGGAAAAACATAATAGGCGACGTTTCGGGAAATGGCCCTTCTTCGTTACATTTGTACGTTTCGGGCGATGACCCAATTGTACCAGAACCGCACAAAATCTTCACCAAATATGTATTTAGCATTTTAAGGCGACGTGAACGAACGTTGAGTTTATTATTGTTATTATTAGTGGTGCCTTTGCACCACTGCCAACGCAGCAGAAGTATCACCAACTAATTTGCTTTACACTAAACGCCTACACGATGCATACGATGTGAGTATGCTTTGATGTGCGCACTATCCTTGAAACCCATTGGGTTGCACCAGAGATGGCCTCTTTTTATGGCTTCAACGGTGCTACAGCCCAAAGGTCGCCAAGGCAAACAGCACATGGACGATGCAACCAAACATTAGTAGCTCAGGTTAACACATTTCTGCGGAGGGAGCTGGTTAGGAACGTTGGGTTGATCGGTCAATGGCCAGGGTCAACGGCGGCGTGGTGTATTCCGCAAATATGCCCGACTGTGAGTGTGGGCACAAGCCGGCGTGAGTAGGTTAAACGTTGAGTTTTATAAGGGCACTACGGGGTGAGCAGCCCCTCCCCACCCAGCCCACCCCTCCCACCCAGCCCTACCATCCCCACCCAGCCCCTCCCTCCCCACCCAGCCCTTCCCTCCACGACGGACAGATGGACACAATAATCCCCTGTGGGCTGGTGTAACCAGGAGGTTCCTACCAGTAAGAAGTTATATATCTAAAAAACCCTTTTGCCACGATCATCATGCGCGCTTTTAGATGCACTCTTCCGATATCAGGAAGCCACTGCAGCGGATGCACTCTCAAATCATCTAGATTTAAAACTCGCTTAATTAGAAATGCGTTCTGTCTTGAGTTTATGCTTCCCCCGAACCTCCGATTATCACAGTTGGCTACGTGGAGTCATTCCAACCAGCTTCGGGCGTTTTTGTTTGACGTGACAAACATTAGGAATTGGCTGTGTCGGGTGGTGGTGGTGGTGGGTTAACGACACAATATTTATATTTACGAGATTTAACCCTAAAAAAAACCTTCAGCAAGAATATTGGTCGCGAAAGCCCTGTCACGTGTTGACCTGTTTGTGGTCGTGCATCCGGGAGGAACTGTAGAGATTTACGAGGTGATTAAGCAAAACCGCGCAGTTTAATAAAAAAAAAATATACCACATGAAAGTTTTATTATTTTTTATTAATTAAAGAGAAATGTTGAGATCATGCGAGACAACACAAATTGTCTTCAAAGAATGAACGTGGAAATTTACATCTTCACCACTATACACACACCCGTCCCATCGCAAACCCTTTTTCTGCCAACCCATACATTACATTCAAACAATTACATTATACACCAGCCCAATTGAAACAATATATTACAGAGCCACTACACAACAAAAAAATACCCGCCACATCTATGAAAATCAAACTAACGAAAATTACTTTAGAAAAAAATATAAAATCAACTTTCAAATCAACGAATGCAATGATGAGTGGTTTGTCAGCAGTAGTCTTGCTAGAGGCGTCCGAGTGAAAATCTGAACGCGCGTCGCTTGGCATCGCATCACCAGCCATCCACACAATCGCTGCCAACACTCCGCTTGATGAACTTGCTCAGATGACAGAGTTCAAAATGTAAACCACACTGTCTGTCGAGTCCCACTGGCTTTCATGCGGAAACAAACTGGGGTGTTGTGGCCAAGTGAAGAGGACACAGGAGCAAAAAAAACATGTAGTTTCAGGAAATCAATATTCAATGGTATCATCAAAGTGGAAAAATGGCCAAATGAATTAACACGACCTTCAAAGTGCCTTTGTGCTGTTGTGGTATGTATGATCTTCATTATAATGGTATATTTCCACGAAATTATTATTCGTATGACACCTTGCAAATCCTTTTCGTTGTACGAGACTGATAGAAGTTTTTTTTAAACAGCATGGGAATGATACAAAAATACACAAGAAAACCCTTCAATAAACACCATATAATCCGAGATTATCCATCAGCTGTTTATGCATTCAGGCAGACGGTGAAATATAATTTTATTTTACATTCACATTTAGGAGAACAGCAACTTAAATAAGACATCTAAAAGTAGTCCTGGAATCCATCCATACCCAGTGCAATAATAATAAAACAAATCACGAAATAATTTATACAATCCCAGGGATGAAATTGTGTTCCTGTATAAACATGAACAACATCTTCAAAAGCATCCTCATCACCAGCAGCAGCGTTCTCACCAGGCAGATTTACTGGGTAGGCAGGAATAAACAGATCTTGGTACGTCCCCGTTGCATTGTCACGATTCCATCCTTTCCGACAAAAAAATTTCGAGATTTAACGAAATTACCTTCATCCGTCATCAGTAACCCTTGCAAAAATGAACCAATGTGAATCAACCCGGAGAAAAATAGTTTTGCGTTACCATGCCGGGACTTGTCGGCCCAATTGAAACCACCTGGGCAAATTTCATCGGAGGGTTTGCCCCCCCCCCCCCCCCCCAAACCTGGAGACAAACCCCGGAGCAGAGAGGATGATGCCTTCCGTGACAATTCGTGCCGAAGACTTCCGAGGACGAACGCGTGGTGGGAAGCGTCACGTAATCCGTGCGCGTTCACGCGATTGCCCCCCCCCCCCCCCCCCCACAATGCTCCCGAGACAGCTGTAGACCATGCTCTTGATAATGCCCCACAAATTTCATTGGAGGCGTCGCAATCAAAACTAACGATTCCCCTAAGCAAATGTTGTGGATAATCTTGGCTTGGCTGGACAAGGAGCTGTGTCACAGTAACGGCGCACAGCACACGACGCATGAGCGCGCATGAGGCTCATATCGCACTTGACAAGTGCGCACATTTATTCAAACCAACCGAGCGTCGGGGTACGTTCGCGCTTACGTTGGGGCAAGTGTGCGTTGGTCTCAGTGCCCCGACGATGCCCTGGGGGCTTGCTGGCGCTGCCCTGGTTGCCCCTGGGGCTCGTTGTTGTTGTTGTCGGTGTTGTTGATGCTTGGCCCGCCTTGCTTGGCCCCAGGTGTCGCTCCATCTCCCCCCGGCCACGGTTCCCGGTGCTCACACCCCTCCCCTCTCGACACCACCTTCTACCCGGGGATATAGTTTTAATTTTGTAAGTGTATTTGAAACATACGATTGCATTTAGTAGTTGTTGTTGATGTAAAGATGTAGCCAGGGCCTAATTTCCCAATAATTTTCCACGTTGCTGGTTGAGCGGAGCAGGCATGTGACCAGCAGCCACAGCGGGAAATATACTGGATATGGGTCGCTATCTCAATACAAACTCAGCTGAAACTAATCCCGGATGTAGGCATGGTTTGGAGATGATGGACGGGGATTAGAACCTAAAGTTGACCTCTATCGAGAAGGGAGCCAGACGTCATATATTCACTCTTACATTTCACCTCCTGTGCATGCCTGTCCCATTACAGGATGTCTCCCAAAGGTAAAGATCCCCCGTGTAGCCTTTCACAGTTGGAGCAAGTGCTGCTAGCAAGCACCTATGAAGGTCAGCACAGCACACGAGGGGGTGGATGACCAGCACCACACCCGGCCGCCTTCATTTGCCCAGTGGCGATGTTTACATATCGCACCAGGTAATTATTTCATGCTGGGTCGACCTAGGAGAGGCCCAGGACCAGTTCAGATAATCGCCACACGTGTGCTGTTATGCTGAAACCCTTACAAGCTCCGTCAGCGAGGTTGCAGTAATTGGGATGACTCCTTGTTCTTTTTTTTTACAGATTACATTTTAAAAAATGACAGGAAATTAAACGTCATGACCTTCCCCGCTGCCATGTGCTTGCAAGGCGGCTTAAGAAATTCCGCAAACGACTCAGTAGCAAAAAGGCCGAACCATGAAAAGTTGGCTCCACCGAGTTCAACATCGCCGTTTAAACTCCGAATAAGTTCATATATATTTTGATATTTTCGTATAATATATAGCACGTTTTTGTATTAATTTAATCGTTTGCAAAATGGTTTTGATTTCGTCTGTTGGCATAACCCAGTGTTCTTCATTGCAAGGCCCCTGGTGGCCTTTAGTGCGGCCCCCTGACGTACGCCCCCCCCCCCCCCGACAATACACAAAGACTGAAAACACCCCCCCCCCCCATCATCGTGCTGCTGTCAAACCCCAATGGTTTCAAACGTATGACGGCCCTCGCACCCTGATGATGTCTTATTGGCAAAAGTGCCCCCCCGCCGCCGCCGCCCCTCCCCCCATGAAAATGAGTGAAGAACACTGGCATGAACAGTCTATTAGCCGGTCGCCGCTACTGCCGTTCACAATGGCCGCCCACACAAGGCTCACGCGCTGCATAAACGTAAGCAGGGGTTTGGAGGGGGGGGGGGGCAAGGGACGGTCGATGGCGTCGCCGTGCAGCTCGGCGCACCGTGGCACTCGCTGCGGCCGAGGCGAAGCCCCGGTGGTCACCGCGTGCTTGTAGGACGTGGCGCTCGAGGGTTAAGTGTTACAGCGGCTTAGCCGTCAGCCCGTCGCACAAACGACCACGATGCGCGACGTCACCGTCACCGACAACGCAGGGACGGCGGCAGACTCTACGACTTGGCGTGGCTGTGGTCGCAACTCGGCGGTGTCGGAAACGGGCCGGTCGGCGAAGCTGCTACCGGCGTCACCTCTTTGGAAACTTTGTCGCTTGCAGCCGAAGGAATTTGGCGGTTGCGCCGATTGGCGGTTGCGCCGTCTCTTCCGTAGTCGTGGTGGCGCCCGGTGGCGTCAGGTGGCTGCGATTGGGAAGGGAGAGATGTCAGTCGTTGCAAGCATCGTCATCAACGTCGTTGTCGTCGCCGTCACCTAGGACAGCAACGTGAGCGTAACGGGGCCCCTCGCCCTCTTGAGCGCCGCCACCGCCTCCTCGTGGGTCACCCCCTCCAGCGACTCCCCGTTCACCGACACGATCTGGTCCCCTCGCCGGAGCCTCCCGTCGTGACCGGCGGCACCCTGCCCAACGCGGGGACGGAAAAACACAATTAGCGTCACCGGTGTTGTTACGTGAGCGTAAATTGAATTTGGGTCGCCGGGTTCGTCGAGCAGCTCACGTACCACCGCGCAACCGCTCCCCACTAGCAGCAGTGCGCAAGTACTCAACACACATATAAAACATTCGTTGACCAAGCTGCAGGTTTCACCCTTTCCTGCTCCAAGACAACTGCAAGTTTCATGGTGGGTGTCCCGTTAACTGCTAAATCTCGGAACACGCAAGCGGCTCCGTCTTAATTTTATTTAGAGATGTAATGCCGTTTTTGTTAAAGACAATGCTCTCAACGCAGAGAACAGTAGCGACACAACCGCACTCAGCGATAGCTGGTGCCAAACTGTGCCACATGCCCTCCCGCACGGCCTTGTGGGAGCCTTGGTACTGAAAAAGATATTTTATTTTAGTTTTTCTTACGGTTCCATTCCAATGACTTCCGATGTTCGGCACCAACCATTGGAACTGAATCGCAATAAAAACTGATGACGTACGTCATTGGAATGGGAAAGGGTTAAAATGGAATGCAATGGGGGATGTTTTAGGCAATGGCCCTTCTTTGTAGCACAGGCACTGTAAAACAAACCTGTTAGGTTTCCTGTTATGTCACAGAACGAGAGTGGCCGTGGCGAGCGTGTGGACGACCGCGTACATTTCCACCGCGTCAAATTCCTTTTCGCAAAGTTCACAAAGGCTACGCCGAACTGTTACAAAGGAGGAGTGGGGGGGGCATTGCCTGGAAAAGTCGCCTATTATATTCAGGGTGTCCATAAACTCTCGATCCATTTCTCTATTTACCATTAGTTCAACGAAATAGATAGGGACCTCATGGACACCCTGCATTTTTACTTTTAGTGCCACGCGCCTGGCGTGTAGCTGACAGGACGCGTTGGGCGCCGTTTGCCGTTTGAGCCGCGGTGTTTGTGCCGCTGGCGCTTGCCTTGTTGAAGACGGTTTTGACGTAGATGGGGAGGTCACCGTGAGGGCTTCCCCGACCGCCGACGATGCTGAAGCCCAGCCCGTCGGGCCCGCGCTCCAGCACTATCGTCTTGTGCTGCTGCGGCCTACAAGCGGACATCGCCGTCGTGAGTTGTCAAGTCGGTCGTCGGGAAGTCGTCGGTCGTTGGGTGCTGCTCGGAATGGCAGACGATTGAGTGAGGATGGTGAAACGAAGTGGGCCCCAATTTATTTAGGCAATGCTTTTACGCGTGACTTTCGCACCAGATGCACGAGAAAAATAATAAAACACGTGTGTAGTATGTCGATGTTACGCGTGAGTGGACGTCAGCCCACGTTGCCACAGAGTCACGTGACAGCCTCCTCCTGCAGCACATGAGGGCAACAACCAGTCCCCGCCCGGCACGCCCTGACGCACTTCACTGCCGGAGACGATGTGCGGCCATGGTCTCCTGCTCCCCGCATTCCCAATTTAATTTAATTTTTAAGAAATGCATGAACAGACAACGCTCTGTATTACGTCATCAAACAAATACAAAAGAGTGCGTGAGTCCATCAGCTGATTGGCCTTCCGAAGCAACGTCCATACAGCTGCAGCATCGGTTTAGGAAGTAACCATCAGCATGTTACTTTGTCCTACTCTTTCAACGATCTCTTTTTTCAATTGAAACTTTTTTTACTACTATTTTTATTTTACCAAGTAAGGCCCACCAGAGCTATGTAGGCTCTGTTCCAGAAGCTCAATGATGTGGCTTATCACGTGGAAATTTATATCAGCAAAATACTATGAAAAAAAAACAATTACCCTCCCCTGGCTGCAATCAACATGCGTTAGTTTGGGATTGAACTATATTATTTAAGATTAGGGCTAAAAAGTTGTGAATTGAGGTAACAGACTGAGGCTAGAGCCATGAGTATAATCAATTCGGATTAGTAATGGGGCTCGGAGCTGTGAATGAGTGCAAGGGTTTGGGATAATAGGTCAGGATTATAGATTGTAAATTTGCATTGATAGCTGGTCACTGGATTAAGATTAAGAGTTAGGCTAGGGCCAAAGAGAGAAGTTATCTAAGGGCTCGGGGATAGAGTCCATGTCTCAATAGGAATGGAACAGGGATCATGGTTAGGAGCTATGGCTCACAGTTAGGACTAATTACTATGGATTTGGGTTTTACGGATTAGGGCTAGAATAGTAAAACATCATGAAGCCAACTCGCTGTGGACTGAGGAATCGGCGAATATGTGAACATGTGGGAAATGTGAACATCAGTACACAGATACTGCATTGGGTGCGGGTGGGTTAATTTCTTGAGAACAACTTTTTGTGTTTAGTTTGGTGTCCTTCCCCCCGCACCTCCAATTAGCACGGTTGGCTACGTACGGTGCGAAACAAGTTCCACATGCGTAGACACATGGTTACAGGGCGGATATGCGACAATTCAGCATTGCTCAAGGACATTAGGGGCAGGGCCGTCCATAGGGGGAGGGGCCCCGGGGACAAATGCCACAGCGTGGGCCCCTCCGAGGCCTTCAAACTTAACCGGGAGTGATAATTGGTTCTTTACCCTTCTATCTGGCAACAAAACTGACACCTTTTGTGGTCCAATCTTAACCGGGAGTATTACGGCCGACACCATGACGTCGAAGCGCGGGGGACCCCGCCCCCCCCCTCCCCCCAATGCGCGGGGCCCGGGGCAGTCGCCCCAGATTCACCGTGCACCCCTAGGGGGCAGCTCTGATTCGGGAAATGGGAACTGAGTGGGAGAGAGCTGGACCACAAAGCGAGCAGTCGGAATAGAAGTAGCTGGCATTTCGAGCGGAAGCGTCCGAGGTGGGATGCCGGGAATTTGCCGGCGAGAGAGGTGAAGCAATGCAGATGTGGGGAACAGAACACGCGGCAGGGCGAGTGTTGTCGATATGATGAGGCAAAGCGGCTTCGCAGGGTGGGGCGTGTAAATACAGGATGTGGGGGAGGGTGGCGATTGAGAGCCCGTGCGCCAACCACCAGATGTCTCACTCGTCGGTATCACCTGAGGTCGCAACTCATTGGCCGTTCCAGTTTCTCTATGTGGCCAATAACAATGAGTGATGTGATAACCATTTGAAATCAGTGGAGTTATCAAATAATTCACTTTTCATAATGAAGGTTATTTTGGGGGTTAGATTGCGTGAATGTGTCGTTAAACCCGCCACCACCTGACACAGCCAATGAGTAAGGTTTGTCACGTAAACAGAACGTGCCAATTAGTTACTATTTCAGCACATTGGCGTGTTGGAGCGTAAACTCTTCTTGGCCATGTAAATTAATGAGAAATACGAATTGTTCACGACCTTAGGTGATAGCAATTTGTGCCCTGGCCGGTGGACGTGACTGCCAAGACAGACAATGGAGTGTCTTGGTCTGGCGACCAAGATCGAGGGGAACACTTAAGGATCAGAACGCGGGGCACTGTCAGGCCAGATCGTGGGGGTCACTCTGTGTGTCTCTACTCTGCAGCAGCTGGATGCCACAGTGGCTCGGAGATGTTAACTGCCTCGCCTGGTACGCAGGAGGTCGTGGGTCCGATCCCGACCCTGATGCCTGCTGCACATTTAGAGTTTTTTGTCCGGGTCCTCCGGTTTTCCCTTCACATTTAAAAAACATGCGTTTAGAGTATTTGGCTGCTATACATTTCCAAATGATAGGCCACTTCGTTGAGCTATCATTCATGACCAGTTCGATTCTGAATAAGAGCGATATAGCTCAGTGGGCCATACCTGGTAAAATAATGAACACATGGTTTAGTAGTCAGTTTAGAATGCGTTGGCAACGAGGTGCAGGTGGTGGTGGTGGCGTCGCCGACTTTAGGGCCACGAAGTCACCCTGATCTGGACCAGCGGTGGGCAACCTGCGCCGCCGGAGCTCCATGCGGCGGCTCTTGAAAATCAAAAATATTTTTTTTTATCTTTTTATTGGTTGCCGACCCCTGACCATGGAAATCTGGGTTTGCCACAGAAGTCCAGTTTACGAAGGGAGTCGAGTTTACCACGAGCCGGGGGGGGGGGGGGGGCGGTCAGCAACTTGCGGCTTCATTAACGACCGCTTCGCGACGTTATTTATTAAGGACCCACCGTCGCGCGTTCACCACGTGCGTTGTTCGAAAAGAAAAATGGGGACTCACCCAAGGTCCGCGGCGGCGATGCCGGCGCCCGATTGGCTGGAGGAGCTGCCGCTACTCGACTGAGCGCCGTCGCTGCGGTTGAAAAACCGGCTGAGGTCCGTTCCGGCCACAACCTGCAGCGGCAGTCAGAAGCAGTCAGCGGTCGCAGCAGCAGCAGCCGCCACGAAAGGTGCAGGACCCCCGCGGGGGTTAAAGAGAGCGGCTGGGTGAACATTCGTTTCTGCGCGTGTGTGTGTCGAGTGTGTTGAGTGCGTTGTGTGCGTTGTGTGCGTTGTGTGCATTGTGTGCGTTGTGCGCGTTGTGCGTGTTATGTGTGTTCCACCGGGCCTGAACAGACGCTTGTGAACAGCACTTGCGCTGATATTCTTGTACAACTAAACAGGGGATGTTTGTCTGTGTACTGGCGGAGAGGTGGTTGTCGTAAAGTGCACTGAGGAGAAGGGCCCGACGCGTGTGCACACGCACGCACACGCACACACGCGTACACACACATGCACGCACACACACACGCACGCGCACACACACAACAACAACTGCTATTCGCCACTAAGTGGCGGTGACGTCACCACGACGCTTGTGCCAGGCCATGTGCACATGCACACACACACACACACAACAACAACAACAACAACCGCCATTCGCCACTAAGTGGCGGTGACGTCACCACGACGCTTGTGCCAGGCCAAGTGCACCTTGAGGCCACGTGATGTGTCGAATGCCCGCTGGCAGGAGGTCACGGGGCAGACCCAGGTGCCACAGGTCGACTGACTGAGATGACCGAGATGACTGGCTGATGCACCACCTGTGCCCCCTACTGTACCAACTTGCTGTGCTTTAGCCACCCGGTGCTCCGCTCGTTGTTGTGAGCGTCGCTCCTCCGCCCTCCGTTGTTATTGGAGGGCGACTGCCTCCAACTGCCCAGTAGCGTCCTTCACGAGCCTCCTCTACTGAGGCCGATCTTGACACCGCTGGTACCAGTCATCAGCAAGTCCACTCAGCTCTACGTCCTCCTGTACCACATCACTCCATCTCTTCTCTAGCCCCGTGCCGCGCCCGTTTAGCCCCCTCGATCCCGCCGAACAAAAGCTGTTTAGGCATGCGGTGGCTGGGCATGCGGGCTACATGACCCAGCCAATGCAGCCTTGCCTGCCGGAGGAGCTCACTGATGGGACTTTGCCCAGATCTTTCAAGGACTTGTGAGCTCCTCACACAATCCAGCCTGGTTAAACCCAGGATGGATCGTAGGCAGGCCAGCCTAAATGTTTCCAACCAGCGAAGATGCTCCATTAGGGGGGTCCACGTTTCGCAAGCGTAGAGAAGGGAGGGAATGACCGTGGCAGAGAAGACCTGAAGCTTCGTGCGGAGCGACAGACCAGGTAGCTTCACACAGCGTTACGCAACCGATGAAAAGATATTGCCGCTCGACTGATTCGGAGTGAGACCTCTGCTGATAAACTGGAGCCGGTCATAAGCACACTGCCCAGGTATGGGAAACTCTCCACTCTCTCCACAACTGCCCCATCACCGATTGGGAGTTGTGGGGGTGGAGTGTCCGATGGTACAAAATACCCAGGCAGGTGCTTAGTTTTGGTGGGGCTGATGGTAAGGCCCCACCTCTTAGTGGTACGCTCCAGTCTCAGCAGCAGCGTCTCCAACTCCTCTTCTGAATGAGCAGCTATTACCAAATCATCGGCATACATAACGTGGTTGACCAATAGGGAGCCATCCCTTGATCGCACCCGGGCGTCGATCAGCCTCCCATTATATCTGTACCAAATGGAAATTCCCCCGGTACAGCTATTGAAGGCTTCACGAACTACGCAGTCGAAATAGATGTTAAATAATGTGGGAGCCAGAGGACATCCCTGTCGCACCCCAAGGTGTACAGGGAAAGGCTCCGACTCCCGGCCACGTAGTTTTACCCGGGCCCGCTCACCATCATGAAGGTCCTTAATGATCGTGAGCAGAGGGTGAGGGACTCCGAAAGCACGAAGAACAACCCAGAGCCCAGTCCTACTGATGGTATCATAGGCCTTGACCAGGTCAATAAAGCAGAGATGTAGGTCTTTTTGGAATTCCCTACACCTCTGCTGTAGCAGACGGACAGAAAATATGGCATCTGTGCAGGACCGCCCTTTCCTGAAACCGCATTGGGGCTCCGCAAGCCTCTTCTCAGCGTGCCAAGCAAGGCGATGTTGCACACACACACGCACACACATACATACATACACACACGCACGCATGCACGCACACGCACGCACACGCACGCACACACACGCACACACACACGTCCGTGCTCACCTGCAGCCGGAGGATGCAGGGAGACTTCTTGAGGAGCCCCACCACCTGCGCGTGCGTCAGCCCCTGCACCGCCTCACCGTTGACGCTTATCAGCTGATCTCCCACCTGCCCGACACAAAGACAAAGATTCCCCCCCAACCGATGTAGCCTTAACAGACTGTTGGGGCAAGTGCTGTTAGCGAGCAGCACCTATGTATGTTGAACTTCTTTTGCATCGTACGTAGCCAACCGTGCTAATTGGAGATGCTTATATGAAGGCCGGCACGGCACACGAGGGAGTGGTTGGTCAGCACCACGCCCGGCCGCCTTTGTCTCCCCAGTGGCAATGTTTACACAATGCATCAGGTACTCATTTGAGGCTGAGTCGACCTAGAGGAGGCCCAGGACCAGTTCAGATAATGGGCGCGAGCGGGAATCAAACTCGGATTGCCGGGTCCGTAGCGCAGCGAGCTAACCGCTACACTACCGCTGCCCACACACACATACACACATACGCACACACACACATACACACACATACACACACACATACACACCCGGCTGCTTTTGTCAACCCAGAGCTAACGTCAACATGCTGCCAAATGTATCCATTTTAGGCTGAGTCGACCTAAGGGAGACCCAATCAAGGTTCAGATTCAAGTTGTCGTCGGTGACGTGCATCTGCAAGTCACAACATCGGCACCAGGGATACAAAGAAAGCAGGGCGTTGTTATTGGCCACACCACCACCTCATCGGGCTGAACAGGCCTTCACAGGTGATCGCTCACCACGCTTGCCCCAACAGTCTACGTAGGCTACATTGGAACTGGCCTTTCCACAAATTCACGACTCGGGTCCCGACACCTCGTACTGACCACGTGGTGTAGGACGCGGTCGCGCGCCACGGTGGCGGAGATGTTAACTACCTCGCCTGGTATACAGGACGTCGTGGGTTCCATTCCAACATTGACACCTGCTGTATATTTGGGGTTTGCGTGTCTCTCTCCCCGTGGATGCGTGGCTTTTTCTCCAGGACCTCCGGTTTTCCCTCCACATTTAAAAACACGCGTTTAGAGTATTTGGCTGCTATAAATTGACCAGGTCGATTCTGAAAAAGAGTTATCAAGCTCAGTGGGCCTTATCTGGTAAAATAAAAAATATATAGTTTTTAGTTAAAAATGCGCCGTGGTGGTGAGATGTTAACTACCTCACCTGAAACACAGGAGATATATTTGGAGTTTGTGTGTCTCTCTCCCCGTGGTTGCGTGGATTTTTCTACAGGTCCTCTGGTTTTTCCCTCCACATTTAGAATCAACACGCGTTCAGAGTATTTGGCTGCTGTAACATATCTGCGTAATGAGCCACTTCTTTGAGCTATCATTTGTGGTCGCTTCTGACCAAAGAGCAACATCGCTCAGTGGGCCTTACCTGCTAAAATAAAAAAAAAAGTATAATCGTTTAGTTTTAGTTTGGTACAGGGAGCTCACCTTGAGCTTCTGCGTGCGGGCGGCAATCCCGTCGGCCTGGATCATGGCGATGAAGACCGGAACGTCCCCCAGGGGGCTGCCCATGCCCCCCGCTATGCTGATGCCCAGGGAGTCGTTGGGGTCCTGCGTAAGGGGTCAGAGTTTCTAGTTCAGTTTTGTTTAACCAGGCGATGACTTCTGGGGGGGGCAGAATGAGATTAACTTGCAAGCGGGAGCCACCCAAAAAAAATAGACATTGGAGCGAAAAAAAGTGTGTTGCAAGAGAAATTGAAATGCTTCACAAAACATGAAGAAAATAAATTGAAGAAAATACAGCTGTTGTTGTATTGAAAGTTGGCATGGATAAGCTGAAGGCAGAGAGACATCCAGGTATGTGTCTGTATGGGTGTGTATTAGAGATGAGTTTCAGAAGAAAATTTCTCCAGATATTGCATTTTGGGATCTAGAGGCCAAATTTTAGATTTTATTTTCTACTTTATTTTCTAATTTCATACTTTTGGATGTAAATGCATTCCATTCAATGCTTTGCATTTAAATCACATTCATTGTTTATGTATTCAATTGAATATGTGTATATGTACGTGTGTATGTATGCATGGGCCGAGTACATGGGCGTGATGTGTAAACATCGTCACTAGCAAGACAAAGGTGGCATCGGTACTCACTAAAAGCACTTGCCCCAAAAGGCTGTTAAGGCTATAAGCATGTTTGTACGCATGCATCACCCACCTTGGTCAGTTCCACAGTCCGTATTTGTTGCTGCTGCTGCGGTGTTTCCGAGCCTGAAGGGAGCCAGGACAAAGGACAGGCCACGGGGAAAACATGCAAACGCCAAAAATACAGCAGGCGTCAGGGTCGGGATCGAACTCCCGACCTCCTGCATATAAGGCGAGGAAGATGACATCACGCCACCGTGGCGCCCTTTGAATAACTAAAAAGTAAATAAAGAATATAAGTTCAAATTGCTGTATCCCGTGTGCACCGAACCTACTTTCTGAAACGATTACCGTACACATTACTCCCCGTTATCACTGGCTTAGGGTGGTTGGTATGGGCCCTGGTGCAAGGAATGAAATGGGGTCCCCCCCCTGTCCAATTCCCACTGGCTACCCCCCCTGCCCACACACCCCCTCACTCATTATAGCCAAGCACCTGGGCCCATCAGCCCGTGGGCCGTGGTGCAGCTACACCGTCTGCACACTCGATAGCTACGCTACTGCCTAAGGGGTTTCACGCGGACGATGCGAGGCTGCCTATTGTGACACTGCCAGGATGAGAGCCATTTGGGACGGTGTCAAAGTAGTGTCACGTGGCCCGTCAGAGCCGTTACCTAGCTAACCCCCCCACCCCTACCCCACCCCCGATCGCTTCTACGGTGCCGGCACCACACAAACGAGAAAGATTGAGCCGACAGCCACCGCCGCCACCGCCAGCCTCGTTCCCATCAATTCGGCCGAGACGTTTGGTCAGCGCCCCACCCCCCTCAGCCCACCCGCGGGAGAAGCGGCCATATTGTTATCATCACATTTCTATTTCGCTCAGATCTCATCTATACACTTGTGAGTGTAGTTTTATTTTCACATCCAGCCCTTTCACATACTTCAATATAAAAGGCGCTTTACAAAATAGAGATTATTATTATTATTCAATCTGCCCTATCCATCCGGCGAGCACATCCGGGCCCGCCCCACCGTTGCCACATCACACCGGCGGGTTCGGCCGACCACGGCTGCCACTCGTGGCCGCTCGTGGCCGCTCGTGGCCGCTCACCGGACGTGGCCTGCGAGCTGGTGGGCGACAGCGTGCTGTCGGAGCGGCTCGGCGTGGGCTCGCTGCTGCTGCCGCTGCCGCTGGCGCTGGCGGTCGCTGTGGCGGCGGCGGCGGTGGCGACGCTCGACGTGACGACGCCGAACGGCGGGGGCAGGCTGTTGGCGCTCGCCTGGCTCACCTGCGCACAAAACCAGAGCGGGGAGGGGGGGTAGTGGGGGGGGGACTGTGTGTTGTCTTGGTCTGAGACTGTTTTGTTGTTGTTCTTGCTGCATTGCTTAAGCGTGATAAATCGGACTTATATAATTAAATAATTACTTTCTTATTTGCTTATGTTTAGTGACCTGCTCATCGTTTTCTCTATTCTGCACTGCCATCGGTTTTTATTTTATCGTTTGCAGTTGTAAGTGGTTGACCCGCCCATACTGGACATCTGTGGAAAAAAAAAGCTTCACAGCTCATCGGATTCCTCCAAAACAAACAATCGATCCGATTCTGAATCTGGAACCCCCGCACAAATTGTCGTGAAACTCCCTTCAACCCGCGGGTGTCGACGAGGTGCCCGCGCCCCTGGACTCGCCAGCAGACAGGCGGCGCTCGGCAAGTGCCGACTAATCTCCACCCCCCCCCGTTCCACCACCTCGACTGCGGTGAACGTAGCCGGGCGGCACGTCCGAGGGGCTCACCTGGCTGGTGTCGGACGTTCGCCGGGAGGAGAGCAGGGAGCCGACCTTCATGCGCCCCACCTCCATCTTCACCACGCCCTGGGCGCACTGCTCGGAGACCATGGACACCACAACGACTCGTTAACTTGCCCAGTGTGTGTGTGTGCCTGTCTGGGTGTGTGTGTGTTTTTTGTTCATGTTTTTGTTTTTTGTTTGTTGCGGTTGCACCCAATTCAAGAGCCGAATGGCTCACAGGGCTATACCTAATAAATGAACTTGAAATAAATGAACTTGAACTTGTGTGTGCGTGTATATAGGTGCTCGCTAACCGCACTTGTCCCAACAGTCTGGTAAAGGTTATACACGGGGGATCTTTGTTTTGTTCGTGGGGAGCGGTGGCGCAGAGGTTAGCGTGCTGCGCTACGAATCTGCTGACCCGAGTTTGATTGCCGTTCAAGGCCAACACCAGTGACGATTATCTGAACCGGTTATGGTTCTCCCCCAGGGCTACTCAAATTATTACTATGTGCAGTGTTTAAACATCGCCACTGGGGTGACAAAGGCAGCCGGGCGTGGTGCTGGCCACCCACCCCCTCGCGTGCCGTGCCGGCCTTCATGGGTGCTACTCGCTAACAGCACTTTCCCCAACAGTCCGCTCAGGCTGTGTGCGTGTGAGCCCCTGGTGTACGTCGTGCCTTGAGGATGGCAGCGACGGTCTCCTGCGAGGCAGAACGCACGTCCTCCCCGTCCACCGACAGGATCTGGTCGCCTTGCGTGAGTCGTCCGTCAGCCTCGGCCGCCCCCCCGTGCACCACCTCCGACACAAACACCCCGTTCCCACTCCTGCGCAGTGGCCACGACAACAACAACAATGAGAACAACAACAACGACGGTAGTGAATCACACCTGTACAGCAACTTTCTTCAACAAACCACTGATGTTTAAAGACAAAGATCCCCCCCCCCGCCATAGCTTTAACAGGCGGTTGGGGCAAGTGCTGTTAGCAAGCACCTATGAAGGCCGGAATGGTACACGAGGGGGTGGGTGGCCAGCACCACGCCCGACCGCCTTTGTCTCCTCAGTGGCGACGTTTACACACCGCATCAGGTACTCATTTGAGGCTGAGTCGAGCAAGGTGAGGCCCAGGACCGGTTCAGATATTCATCACCGACTTTGGCCGTGAGCGGGAATTGAACTTGGTTTGCCGGGTTTGTAGCGCAGTGCGCTAACTACTGCACTCCAACTCCCCACAACAGAGTACAATATACACACACATGGTGTGTCGACATCACTGACACTATATTCAGTTGAGAGGCCTCCATCTAACAGTGGGTGTGCGTGCATTTGGGCGAACGATCAAGCAACCGGACGAGTAAGCGGGAAGGCAAGTGGTATTTTTTTAGTTAGTTGGAGGGTGGGTGGGTGAGTGTTACGAGCCGCTGCGGAGAGTGGTAATGCAGGTGAGAACACAGGTGGGGTGGGTGAGCTCATCACCGAGTGAACAGGCAGGCGAGCAGATGAGCAGGTATTTGGGCGATCGGTCTACCGGTTAATTGAGTGAGCGATTGGAAGATGGCGTAGTTTATTTTTTGCGGGGCAGGTAAGCGAGCGAGAAAGTAAAAGAGTGCACAGGACAAGTGGGTGAGAGCCAAGGAGTGAGCGAAGTCGGCATTTGGCAATCGATCGATCGAGCGATTGGACGACCGAGCAAATGAATGAAATAAGCGAGCGGCGTTCGCGAGGGACAAGCGAACGAGCGAACGAGCGTGCGGGTTGCTTTTGTCGGCGTCCGTACTTCTTGCCGACGATGCTGAGGCCGAGGCCGCGGCCGGCCTTCTTTAACAGCTCCACGGTGAAGATGTGCAGCGCGCTCTCGTCGTCGCCGCGGTAGCGTGCCTCGTCGCGGTACACGTACAGACGCACGAGCTGCGGCGACGCGCGCAGAGCGTTGATGGCGTCCTCGTGCGTGGCCGAGCGCAGGTCCGTCCCGTTCACCTGCGCAGGCGGCAAAGGGCGACGTGACACCGTTCGGGTGATTCGTCGCCGAGGACCGAATACACTGGTCAACACACTGTTAAGGTAATTTTGGGATGTCGATTCCAAATCTGGCATCAGATTTTGTCTATCACATCAAGTTTTTGAGATATCAAATATTGCATTTTCAATAAAAACTGCAGAAGAAAAATATTAAATGTGGATATTTAAATAAAATTATATTATAAACACACTATCCTAAAAATACAGCACCATATTTTAACACTAAAGCAGTCACTGACTCACAACAACTTGCAATCATAAGTGACAGAGTTAATTTCGGGTAAAAATCAATGAAAATGGGATATGCCGATAGCATAAAATGTGATGTGATAGAGCAAATCTGAGATCAGATTTGGAATCAGCACCCTGAAAGTAGTCTAAAACAGCTGCAAAAGTCCAGGCCAGAAAAAAAAACATTTTGTTGACCAGTGATATTTTTCCGTTTCCACGTGGTTTAGGGTTTCGTGCCGTTCCGCTTCATGTCCGATGTTTCGCTCCTAGTGCCGGCAGCTTCTTCAGGAACCGGGAAAACACGTCGGAGAACAGCGGCCGAGGATTTCTGCCCAAGCACCCCGGTTGACCTTTTGCTCGCGGGAAGGTCGCTCATCGTCCTCTGCTGGAACTCGCTTCCCCCAGCAAACGGTGGCGCTTAAACTCTGGGTGGATGTCGTAACGATATAATAGGATCCGGAACATACCGAGAAACACAGCACGTGGGGGACAATTGATGTCTGACCCTAATGGGGATGGATCAATGCGGGCAGAGAAATCAGTACGGTCACGTGACTAATGGGATAATGTGGCTCTGACCTTTAACCTTCGCTCAGCGGCAGCAACGCTCATTCTCCTCCGCGGTACCCCTGGTCTGGAACTTCCTTTTCTAAGTCCACGGTCCAGACCTTCCTTTTCTCCTCTGCCTGTGACCGACTGCCTTCATAAAACTAATATGAATATAATCAATGCAGACCATTGATGGATTTTGCTGCATTCCCCTCTGCTGCCAAATGCCCGAAGCAGCCTACAGCAACCTGTATATGCATGGGAGTCGCCCATTCAAACAATATGCAGGAGATCGGGTAAATGACAGGTGATTTGATCATTGACAAGATTAGAACATTAGACTATTTAAGAATGTCTTCTTGGTTCTTTCGGTAAAGTCACGTAGAAGGGAAGCGTCAACAGACCTGGTTTTCACCTGAGGACGGCTGCTTGCGTTGTGGCCGAAACGTCGTGAGAATTATTTTATTATGTTTTATTTTTATTATTTTATTACTTCCCTTCTACGTGACTTTACCGAAATAACCAAGAAGATGAATCCCTGCAGTCATGAAAGCTTTAAATCGATATTTAAGAATGTGTTTTTGTTGTTGAAATTATTGAAATGACCTTTCACATAATCACGGTGGTCTACATAGGAGTGCCCACCAGCAATAACAACGGACAAAGATAAGAATACATGCCACAGGCAATGTGGCCGAATTAAAGACAGTGGACGTAATGTCCTCAGTGAAAAAAATTATACCTATGATGACAAAAAGTAATCACGTGATGAAAAAGCACTTTGATTGCAGGACGGCGCGAGGTGAAGTGTGGAGCGGATGCGCTTGCTCGTGCGAGGATGTGTTCGTTTGGTTTCCACGGTGAACTTCTTCTTCATCGTACGTAGCAAGACGCGCTTAATCCTCGGTGCGGAGAAAGGACAACAAACTAAACACAACCAGCAGTTCTAAATAAATTCGTTTATCATCGAAATTTAAAAGTGCAAGGCTCCAGTGGCTTCCTAATATCGGAAGGAAGAGCGTTCTCGACGGCTGAAGAAGCAGCGCATCTCAAAGCGTACGATTCGGTGACCGTCTTTTGTTCGATGGGCAGCCAAAAGCTGCTCCGAGGATGACCGGAGTTCCCGTGGTGGTTTATGCTGCTTGACGAGATGAGCGAGGTGTTGTGGTTCGTTTGTGCCAAGCACTTTGTGTCTGATGAGTGCGACCTTTTAAAAGCTCCAATACGGCCATCTACGCTCCCCCCTCCCCCCCACTAGGGCTGAACGATTTGGGGAAAATATCTAATTGCGATTTTTCTGACAGATATTGCGATTGCGATTTGATTTGCGATTCCATTTTTTCAGTCAAGCTTCAGTTCAATATTCACTGTGTGATGGATTTAAAACATGTCATGGAGCATTACCACATGATACCATCAAAATATTAACTGCTCTATACATTCTAATGCAAGAATGAGAACTGAAAAGACATGAATTGCTTCCAACATGTATTTATTAAAATGTTTGAATTGAAAGTGCAATCAAACGTAGAACAATTGTTAAATTAAATAAATTAAGTTTTAATAATAATAATAAAAATTCCAATAAGAAAGTAATAGGACTTTTCAAATCGCCAAAAAATCGTAGCCTTTGGCGATTTGCTAATGGCATCGTTTCAAATTGTGATATCGATTTGAAATCGATTAATCGTTCAGCCCTACCCCCCAGCCCCCACGGTCTCACGAGAGCTGCGATGCCACAATGCCCCCTACAATATAAAGTAGGTAAAGGGCACAGCCGTGCAACTGCTTGCTCATGCCAAGGCTTGGCGGAACGGCCTCCACTACAGCCCCCCCCCCCCCCTCCGATCCCAAGAGGGTATTTGGCCTCCTCTTGGGAGAGGTGCGATAATATCCCCACGTTAGACCCCACCAAACGCTACCTGCTGATCTATCGACCGACTGTGCGCATGATATCACGTGCGAGCGCAAACTTCCGCCCCGGTAAAAATATCGTCACATCGTGAGTAACGTCGCTCATTTCATTTTTCTAACATATGTCATTTCTTGACAATCTACGTAGGAAATAACAAACTAAATAGTTAACCGTCTCTATAAATAACTATTATCCATCAAAGTATGCTTTGCAAAGCGTTTTTCGTAGTAATTGACGGCACGGCGTTTATTTGACATCATCAGATCCGCGGTTAGGTAACTTGTGTACTTACTTGTGTGCAACTCGTTATAGATTTCGATTTAAAGCTTTCGTGACCTCAGGGATTCATCTTCTTGGTTCTTTCGGTAAAGTCACGTAGAATGGAAATAATAAAATTATAAAATAAAACAATAAAATAATTCTCACGACGTTTCAGCCACAACGCAAGCAGCCGTCCTCAGGTGAAGACCAGGTCTGTCGGGGAGACAGCGTCAGACGCTGTCTCCCCGACATTCTACGTGACTTTACCGAAAGAACCAAGAAGATCGTTAAAGATTGCTAAGCTGTGACGACGAGAAAACACGGTGGCAAGCTTACGTCGAGCGGACTGCAGTCGAGCAACTTTCAGATACGAATCTTTGTTTTGCACAGCGACGCGCAGAAAACGATACACGTGTGAAATACGTCCATACAAAGTTGCGGGCAAGGGGTATGAAATCGCGATAATCATCTCAACGCAGACGACGATGGTAAGGTCACGGCCACCTGAGCTCTCACCTTCAAGATTTGGTCTCCGGCCCACAGCCTCCCGTCCTTGGCAGCAGCTCCTTCTTCGTAAACCTCGTGAATCATGATTGCTCCCTGGAGACAAATGTCATCATGTTAATATATTTGTTTATATATTTTATTTTCAATATTTTATATATACATCAGGGTGCTTCAAAAACATGTTAACACTTATATGGGACTATCGTTTTAAATGGAAAAAGAACAGATACTACACTAGATTTGAAGTTTTCGTGACTGCAGAGATCCATACTCTTCGATTCTTTCGGTAAAGTCACGTAGATAGAAAATAAAATAAATTAAATCACGACGTTTCGGGAGCAACACAAGCGCCCGTCATCAGGTGGGACAACCCTTGCTGTGGTTGTGATTTTATTTATTTTATTTTATACCTACGTGACTTTACCGAAAGAGCCAAAGAGTAAAGATACTACACTGTAACGTCATAACAAATGTATGTTAATAGCTTCAAAAAGTCTCCACTTGTTCACCATCATTGTCAACGCGTGCCTGGAATCTTATCCGGAGGCACATGTTTTGTGGCGTTGTTGCAAATTCTCAGAAGTGTTCAACATTGTTTGAAGCACCCTGAATAGTACTTTTCACACAAAAAAAAGTTCACCAAAGCACTGTAACCACGAGATGTTGGCATCACTCTACCTGATGATCCATTTGTAGACACCCCACTGAAACCACAATGAGTGAGCACAGGTCAGAACACCACTCTGCCCCCGAATGAAAATGCACGCGTAAAGGACGACGTTTCGAGCAGAGGCCCTTCTTCAGAGCGGCGAGGAGAGATGCCACGCTTTGATGGAGGGTCCCACTGCCCTAGACGTCGCCCTTCTCCCCCCTGTGCCAGCCCCCACCCATCCCTGCATGCCACAAACCCTCCCCCCCTCTCCCCCTTCCCCCCCTCCCATGCTGATATAAAGCCACAACAGCAGATAATTTTCTCACCTGAAGACGGACGCTTGTGTTGCAACCGAAACGTCGTGTTTTCTTTTGTTATTTTTTCTATCTACGTGACTTTACCGAAAGGACCAGAGAGTTTGTTATTGAGATGGTTTTTGTTTCATTTATGTTAAGCGCAGTGTTGTTGAAGAATGTGTTATTAATGCTCGTGAACCGCTGGCCAAAGCAGTATCAAAAAAAAAAAATTTTGCTTACGCATATTTTGAACGTGAAATGAGCTAATCATACCGGTTATGCCAGACGAAGCGTATCAGAGGCAGAGCTGTAAACACATGCAAGTGCGTGATTGACATCAGTGGGAGATATGTAGAGCCTTTGAATTAACACGTGAATTGCTCCGATCAATTATCCAGCATGACTTGAGCGGGGCATCTATGATCGGATCACGGTGTAGGATAAAATACTCCACCACGAAAAACGACGACTGACCGCGCCACTCAGCACTTCCGTCACGCCTCGCCATGGCGCTCAAGATGTCTACATTTTCAATTTTTTTTTTTGCTTTTAAGCATTTTTTAACGATCAATGGTTTATATTTCATCGGGGGGGCAGGGGAGTTGGAGAGATATCGCATTATCCTGGTGAGAGCCATCGCGCCAAAAGCAGATACATTATTTAAGTTGCGGTAATATTCTCTCGGTCGATGCAACTGCGCAAGTCAGATCCATTACACTTTGTAACACAATTTTTGCTCCTGGGTAGTAAGTGTTATTTCGTAAATGCGTATGCCTAAAAGTTATAGAAAATGGCCATTATTCCCCACAAACTTTACTTTTGTGACCATGGCAGTGATTTTTTAAATTTACATATTTTAAATGAAAAAGGGGCGAACTTGTGTTTTGTCGTTCACATAAAGTTAGAAAAAAATTACATATGAATAAAAATGAACATGTATTTATACTAAAGTAATACAAAAATTACTACAAAAAAGTAGGAGTAGTTTTTCGAGATTCACGAATCAGTCCCCAAATGTAGTCTCCCATCATGTTTTCGTGATAATGTCCTTGGTAGCGGCGTTCAAAGTCCAGTATATCCTGGTGGAAGCGCTCGCCTTGCTCCTCCGAGTACGCTCCCATGTTCTCCTTGAATTTATGAAGATGAGCATCAAGGTTATGGACTTCGAGGGGCATCCTACAGCCCATGGTGCTGTAGTTTTTAACCAGAGTCTCAACCAACTCCACATAATTTTCGACCTTGTGATTGCCCAGGAAGCCACGAACCACTGCGACTAAGCTGTTCCAAGCCACATTCTCCTTACTAGTGAGCTACTTGGGGAATTCATTGCACTCTAGGATCTTCTTTATCTGTGGTCCGATGAAGACACTGGCTTTGACCTTTGCCTCAGACAGCTTAGGGAAGAAGTCTTGAAGGTACTTGAAGGCTGCCGACTCCTTATCTACAGCTCTGACAAATTGTTTCACAAGGCCCAATTTGATGTGCAGTGGTGGCATCAGCACCTTCTGGGGGTCCACCAGTGGCTCCCACTTGACGTTGTTTCTCCCCACAGAGAAATCGGTCTGCTGTGGCTAGTCCTGCCTGTGGTAGTGCGCCTTGATGTCCCTGCTGTCCCAAAGGCAAAGACAGCAGGGAAACTTGGTAAATCCGCCTTGGAGACCCATCAGGAATACCACTATTTTGAAGTCTCTGATGACCTCCCAGCCGTACTCATCATACTGCTAGGCATCCAGCAAGGTCTTGATGCTGTTGTAATCCTCTTTGAGGTGCACTGAGTGAGCCAGGGGAAGAGACAGGTACTTGTTACCATTATGGAGCAGCACGGCTTTGAGGCTCCTGGATGAGCTGTCAATAAAGAGGCGCCTCTCATTCTGGTTACAGGCGATTCTGATTGCCTCGAACAGACTGGTCACATTGTAGCAGAAGCAGAGCCCATCTTGACGGGTGAAGAAGCTGCAAAAAGGTTGGTGACGCTTCCTCTGATCTGCAACTTGCACACTTTCATCCAACAAGTTCCACTGCTTCAGCCTAGATGTCAAAAGCTCGGCATTGGACTTGGTGAGACCAAGATCTCTGATCAAGTCGTTGAAGTCTTTTTGGTTGGGGTAGTATGGGTTTCTCTCCTCTGAAATTGTCATCTGGATCTACAATGTCTTCCTCGCTCTCTGACTTGCTGCTCTCTTCTAAAGACTGCTGCTCTCTCTCTGGAGGAGTGGGTATGGGGAGCTCATGGCAGTGTGGCAACGGGGCGATGGATGAAGGAAGGTCCGGATATGTGATAGCAGGTGTATTCTTGCCAGTCCGACGTTTGGAAGGGTCTACAATGTACAAGTAGCAGTTGCTTGAGTGGTCAGTGGGTTCCCGACAAATTCTTGGGATAGTGAACTTCATGGCTCTCTTTTCCCCTCTGTACCATCCTACAAAAATACATTTATTTCACTCATGACTAATGTCTAAGAGATTCTCGCAATATTTTTCATATATGATGTATTTTTCAATAACGTTGAAAATTGTAAAACATTTTAAAATGAAAAACTTTAACAATTTAACAAATTTTATAACATAAAATTCCAAGCAACAATTGTCCATCTTACCTTACAGAGTTTTTGTTGCATTGCTCGCAGGTGAAATGAGGTGCCCAGGGTTTGTCTTGATCCCCGACAGGCATGCCAAAATATGCCTTGTAGGCCTCACACATCTTAGCAGATGCTTCCACAGAGTACTTTTTCGCTCTTGTCTTGATAAATTGGCCGCAGGCATAGCAAAATGCGTCTGCCGGATACTTGCAGCCTCTTGATGCCATCTCAGAAATATGCATATATGTATCCACTTAGGCAGCTGGAACTAAACTGAACTGGTGGGCTTCAGGCCCCTGTATTTATACTACTATTTATATTACTGGAAAGTTCTAGAATGTTCTAGAAGTTACTCCAAGTTTACTCAGCACTGAACCTATCTGGAATGTTCTGTAAAATAGGTAAATTAAAAAATATCACTGTCCTGGTCACAAAAGCAATGTTTGTGGGGAATAATAGCCATTTTCTGTACTTTTGAGGCATAAGCAATTAGGAAATAACACTTACTACCCAGGAACAAAAATATTTTTTGTTACACAGTGTTATCAACCAAATGATCATCTCCCTTTGTTCTCAAGTCCACCGAGCTCATTGTCCCCGGTCGGGCCACTAACAATGGTTCTAGATTTGAAGTTTTCGTGACTGCAAGGGTCCATACTCTTTGTTTTTTTCGGTAAAGTCATGCAGGTAGAAAAGGAAAAAAAATGTAATCACGACGTTTCGGAGGCAACACAAGCTTCCGTCTTCAGGTGGAACCGTCACAGCAAAATTGCTGTATCAAGGCAAAACAGCAACAATGGCTTCGCTAAAAATATTCCTGGTCTTGCCAGGGTTGAAACCTGGTTGTAAATGCAACCGGAGGTGGAGCAGCGGCACGGTGGTTAGCGGACTGGACGGTGAACCCCGGTGGGCTGAGTTAGATTCACTGGCCACGGCTAACATCAGTGGTGAGGAGTAACGTCACCGAGCAGAGTGGTGACATATGGTCAACTGGCCCCACTGTGAAACGCACGGCCAAGGGAGGCTTTCACCCAGCATTCGATTAACTAAATAAGCTGTATGTGTAAACTAAACTACTCAACTTTTTGTTATTTTACCAGGCAAGGCCCACTAAGGTATACAGCTATTTTGCAGAAGCGACCTGGCCACAAGTGATAGTTCTAAACGTGCATTTCTAAATCTGGAGGTAAAAACCTTGAGGACCCGGAGAAAAATCCACGAAACCACGGGGGGAGAGAGACACGCCAACTCCAAATATACAGGCGTTGGGGGTCAGGATTGAACCGAGACGTTAACTACCTCGCCTGCGTACCAGGCGAGGTAGTTAACATCTCGCCACCACGGCGCCCTCTCCCATGTACACGAGCAACGTGGGCAGGAGAGATTCAGATGGAAGGTTGTAGGGTTGAGGGTGAAGGGGAAAGTGGAGAGAAGCTGTCATCCAGCAGTGGATTGAGAGCACGGCTGTAGTTGTGCGCACGAGGAATGCCGCGCTGACCAGGGGGGTGTCGACGCCGCCCACGACGCTGAGGCCCAGGCCCGTGCGGCCCTTGCTGATCTCGACGGTCGTCTCGCGGCCGGCCACGATGGCACACGTGGCGGGGTCCAACTCCTCCGCCACGCGGGACGACGTGACGCCTGCACGCGGTGCAATGGTAGAGACGTGGGGGGGATGGGTGGGGGTGGTGGGGAGCAGTTGGTATGGGTAACGCAACAGGGGGCCGGGACGGTTAAGTTGAGGAAGCCGGATCGATGAGTAAAACGTCGCAACTACCGCAGTTTTTGTGCTCGATTACTCGGGCCCCATTTTCAAATGTCGGCCTCCGCCCACATCTTGCCTCCCGAAGGCTGGAAATCCGCTCTACAAGCCAAGACTAGTGTGACAAGGCTGATGACGCCGATGACATCGTCCAGCTCCGTGCATTACCTCCCGTCCAGCGGCACACTTGGGGGAACAGATGGGCGAATGTGTATTTTCCCCAAATTATTCCAGCACTCTCCTATAAGTTGCAAAATCGACTGCTTAAATAGTTCATCAAATAGCCCAGCTATAGTGATGCGGTCAATGTGGCGTGCATTTTTGGACGACGGATTCGAGGGGGCCCAGCGTTGTACTGTTTTTTTTAATAAACCCAGTGGATCAATTTGGAGCGACACGACGTGGGGGGAACGACAGAGCTGTGGGCGAGCTACAGGGTACGTGCTCGCGCGCGGAGAGATTCCTACGCGCAGGGCGCGGACGCCGAATCGTAATTCACCGAACCGTCGACCCGCGCCTGACGGCAGCCGCGTGCAAAGTGATGGCGCGATCGTTTGTTTTGCTATTGTTAATCCCAACGGTGAAGTTAATGTTGAACCCGGTAGCAGTAAAAATCCGCGCAGATAAAAGCGAGTGGCTTTACTGCGAGCGATATTTGTCGGGACCGAGAGCCGTGTGGAGAACCAGCAACACGAAGAATGATTTTGTAGCTCGACGCCGAAACAGTGCGGCTCGTGAACTCGGATCACCTCACCGCAGACGCTTCGCCGTTCTCACCGAGCCGCGACACCAAAAGCGAGATGTTAGTTACCTCGCTCGGAATACCGGACGGAAGTCGTGAGTTCGATCTCACACCTGACGCCTGCATATTTGGAGTTTAGCGTGTCTCTCTCCCCGTGGTCACGTGGATTTTTCTCCCGGTCCTCTGGGTTTTTCCCTCCACATTTAGAAACAACGCGCGTTTAGAGTATTTGGCCACGATAAATTTCCACGTGATACGCCAATTCGTTAAGCTATCATTTGTGGCCAGGTCTCTTCTGAAAAAGAGATCCTTAGCTCAGTGGGCCTTATCTGGTATAATTAAAGTGTAGTAGTAGTTAGTTGAGTTTAAAACCGGATGCTTCGTGATCGTCAAAGCCATCTCCAAATGCGAATGTAACTTTGTTATGTAGCCTCTCACAGGAAGATTGTGTTAGCAAGCCACTGAAGCTGTGCACTTTTAAATCTAGATTGAAAACTCATTTCTTTAGAACTGCTATTTGTCTTCTTGGTTCTTTCGGTAAAGTCACGTAGAAGGGAAGTAATAAAAGAATAAAAATAAAACATGATATTATGTTTTTAATAAAATAATAAAAATAAAACGTAATATTATGTTTTATTTTTATTATTTTATTACTTCCCTTCTACGTGACTTTACCGAAAGAACCAAGAAGATGAATCCCTGCAGTCACGAAAGCTTTAAATCGAAATTTAACTGCTATTTGTGTTTAGTTTCTTGCCCTTCCCACGCACCTCGGGTTAGCACGGTCGGCTACTTACGGTGCGCGAAAGAAGTTCAACATACGTACGTACGTACATAACTACACTGGTCATGTAGAAACTGTACTCTGTATTCATAACGCCAATAAAGTACTGTTTTAAAAATGCATATATTTGACCACGTGATTGTATATTGTAGCATACGACCAAGTCACCCGGAACGTGCCTGATTTAGTCAACGCTCGGGAGCTACTTAAGAATTGAGCCTGGACAGTGCTTGGATGGGCGGTAGTCGTGCGTGCCAGGTTGTCATGGGTGGCTGTGGGGCCCTGCCATGTGGTGGTGAGCAGAGCGCAACGAAGCTATATCCATCGCCTTTATAAACACGCACTCACCAGGGTTGGTGAAGTACGGTCAAAAGAACGCCAAAGTGCCACATGGCGTGGGTGAGGCCCCTCATCCAGCAGCGGACTGCCAACAGGACTGCCCACGTGTTGAATGTGGGTAATGACGGAGAGATTACGACGTCGGGTGTTTCAACTGCGCTGCTTTGCGACCCGGGGCCTCCGTTACAAAACAGAGAGTGCCGGTCCCAGTGCACCAGTGCCTGTGGCTTAAGTGGAGGATTTCTCTGCAATTCCACGGTAAGGGAATTACAGCACAGTGGGGAGGGGGGGAGGGGGCACGGTTTATAACCACGAAACTTAACAAAAACATAATTTTGGGCTTTTATGGTTGCTAAACGTTCTGACTCGGCAGCTTGGCGCGGTACATGAAGTCAGCCAATTTCACCGCCATGTCCAATTTGCCTACAATTGCTCCGGCGGAACCGTGACTCCAGAACGGCACTTTCCTGACAAGCAAGAGCGCGCCGTGCGCACAACACCCACAATGCAGGATACCTGGCCACGCAACCCACAATATAAATGAACCACAATACCTTGCTGATCTCATATTGGGGCATAAACCATCATGCAAACTCCGGTCATCCTCGCAGCGGCTTTTGCCTACCGTCGAATAAAAAAGGCCACTGCATCGCGCGCTTTCAGATGCACTTTTGCGGCCGTCTGGAATGTTCTTCCTTCCGAGCTGTGCACTTTTAAATCATCTAGATTGAAAACTAATTTATTTATAACTGCTTAGTTTAGTTTGTTGTCCTTCCCCCGTACCTCCGATTAGCATGGTTGGCCTGGATAACCGATTACTGACCAAAAGAACCTGTCATGTGAAATTTGGTTCTCGCGCTCGATTTGGCTAAATTCTATCTCTAAAAAATGAACAAAAAATTCAATTTGCCTTGTCAAGCGACGAACATTACTCTCCGTAAGCAGGGTGGGTGAGAAAATCACTGCCGCCCTTATTGCGTGGACCGGAGATCAATTGAACGGGCCTCAAAAGTAGATGTTTCTGCAATGTCCACTTCTGTTGGCCGTTCCCTTCCACGAAAGGTCACAACTTCGTCTGGTCCGGGCGTCGGCGCAATAACTCACTGGGGGCGGCGGAAGGCGGCGGCTGGGTTGTGGTTGGCGGCACGGCGAGCGTGGTGGGCACCTGGGGGAAGTTCCGCTCGTCCCGCGAGCTCACCGTCAGCGTGACCGACGGGTCCGGGTCCTGCCGCATCAGCTGCTGCACCTGGTGCCAGCGGTCGTGGTGGGGTGGGGCACAGGATAACCAGAGGCAAAGAAAATTACATTCAGATCTTATCGGCCCTCGTGTGCAAACGTACCCCCCACCCACCCAGCCCCCACCCCGCCCCTCGCCCAGGGACATCGTCTTAAACGAGGGTAGTGCAGAAACCTTTCCCCCGGGCGAACAGCATTTTCACAAACCTCTCGCGGGCAACCGTGCGTTAATACACACACGACGGCATTACCCAATGACGTTATCCAAGATTGCAAACGTGGGTGTTAACCTGCCAAAAGTATTTTGAGGTCCGATCATGCAAAAAAATATAACATTCGTGTCAACCGAGATGAAACAGGCCCCGCCCCCGCCCCCCCTTTAAAGTGATGTGTCTGAGCGTGCTAAAATTACAAACGCAGCGCGACCGGGAAGGAAAACTATTCCCCCTCCAGAACTAAGATTCTCGCGGTAGCAGATCAATAATGCTTGCGGGCCGTTTCAAAGAGCCAGATCTCACGTGGCTGGCAGGCAGAATGAAAGAGTCACGTGGGCCACAGGTCCCTGACCCACGTCTCAAACTCTTAAACACCAAGCTGTCATTGCCGACTGGCAGGTCACGGATGAAATTAAAAAAAGTGTTCGTCGAAGGCGAGTGGATGGCTCGTGGGGGCTGTGAGACCCAGGTCAAAGCAATGAGTCTCTCAGTCTGAGCTGCAGAGTTTAAACCCAATGGTGAGCACTTGGGGTGAAAGGGCACCCTTGTGTGCAATGGCTTTGATGGTCTCAGCAAGGAAGCTGTGGTGGCGAGATGTTAACTACCTCGCCTGGCACACAGGAGGTTGTTGGTTCGATCCCGACGCTGACGCCTAAATTTGGAGTTCGTGTGGATTTTTCTCTGGGTACTCCGGTTTTTCCCTCCACATTTAGAAACATGCGTTTAGAGTATTTGGCTGCGATACATTTCTGCATGATAAGCCACTTCGTTGAGCCTGTGGCCAGGTCGCTTCTGAAAGAGAGCTACATAGCTCAGTGAGCTATTTCCCGTAAAATGTAAATAAATAAATAAGGAGCAAAAAAACTGCAGTGAACGTGCTCCAGTGTTTCTGTGCGGCATCGTGAAATTCAGCTGCCCACAGACGCGACATGAACCCCGCCGATTGGAGTGCCTCTCATGGGATATGTATAAATAATGTGGATCAGAGCATAAAATAGCCAAGTTAGGTGCATCGCGTTGAACCGTTAAGAAAAGTGTGCTTGGGTAGGGCACATCGCTCGGAGGGATGATGGCCGATGGTCAAAGTAGCGGCGAAGTGGCAGCCGAAAAGTGGAACACGCCCGAGGAGGAAGGCAGCCGCGGAGATGAAGCGATGACATCGGCTCATGTGCGGGTACCAAATGGATCGCTGCATCGCATGACAATGACAGATGGAGACAGCTTGGGGCGGCCTGCATCCAGCAGTGGATTGATGATTGCATTGCACTAAAAGCTGGTATGTTGATTTATTATCATTGTTTTATTTGGTCACCCAAAAGATTAACTGGTCATTCTCCAATGTAGGAATTTGGAATTTCCACCACTGTCTCAACGCTGCCTGAATGCCTGATGCTAAGGTAGAGAGGGGTTGTCATGTTATTCGCTGCTGTGTTGTCGTTGTTGCCGAGTGGCAAATAAATTTGGGGGGGGGGAAGGGAAACGAATTGAAAGCAAAATGGACTTTGAAATAAACATTCAAAGACCATCCATCAGAGGGCTCCTGCAAAGGGTTATTCCACCACGGTACAATTTAGCGTCGCGTACATTATTTATGCTGTTAAATTAATGAAAACCTTCAACATGTATTTTTTTCCTACATTAAATTAAAAGGAAAATTTATTTTGCCCGCAGATAATACCCATATAAATGCAGAATGCAAGTATATACTTATCAGCTGGCAACACCTTGCCCTTTAACTCAGCACCCTGTTATGCATTTTATCATGAACTCATCAATTTATTGGACATTTACAGCTCTAGATATCAAATCCCGACCGTCCGACGCATGAAAGATGAGAGTGCTTTAAATCCACGATGAGTCTGCACTTGCGCTACATCTCATGGCCCGAATGCCATCTCCTTCCCCTGCCAAAACCTTCTCTATTACTGTACAATTATCACCACGAGCTACATAGAGGCAGAATTTGACTCAAGTAGGAACAATGTTCTTTCACGTGTGGTGTGGTGGAGCACTCGGTTGCGACCACAACCGGACTTGATAGAACCATCCAGCACTCGTCCATTCACGATAATCACTCGCAGTGTCTTCAATCGCCACGAACTTAGCTCATTGATTCCTCCACCCATGTTGAGCACGTTTTATACCAGGCTGACCGTTGTCTCATCCACCACACTGTGTTCAACCACCGCACTACAGGTGAAAACACTCACTCACACACTCACTCACTCACCGACTCAGTCACTCGCTCACCCACTCACTCACCCACTCACTTACCCACTTACCACACTGCAGGTCACAACACTTCTCTGTCTCAATCTTTCCTCGCACCTTCGAATTCCCTCCCATCGTCTCTTATAACCTTGCTCAATTCAAGACACTTATTTCCTCTTGTCCATTAAACCTTCAGGAGTTATATTTGTTGCTGGCCACGTGGTGTTTTGGAACCTGTGCTCCAGCAAACGTGATTGAAAAATTAAAAAAATTCTCACCTTGTCGGCCGTTTGGCCCAGAACAGGTTCCCCATTCACGGCCAGGATGCGGTCTCCCACCTTCAGCCGGCCACCCTGTGTGTGGGACGCGACACAAACACGGCCACGAGGTCATCATCGCCATCATCCTCACCACCACCACCATCGCGGCCTTGATCTAGCACCTGCAGAACGCGTCACTGAGGAGGGGCCCCGTCAGCCGGAGGAGGGGAAACGAGCCCGAGAGGACGTCCACCGCGAAAGAGACGGAGCGAGAAACGAAGCGGGACGGATTGTTGCGTCGCACATCCGAAAGTACATTTTGCCGCGCCTCCGATTGCCACGGTTGGCTACGTACGGTGCAGAAGAGGTTCAACACGCGTACACACATCCAGGAGAGCGAAGCGTGGTGATGGCTTGCGGAGGGGGCCCTATGTTCGGCAGTGTGTAGACGACGGCTGATGATGTCATTATTGCAAGTGGTGTTTTTTTATTTCCATCAAGACTGGAATGGGTGGCTTTTAACTCGGGACGGTCGTACCGATAGCAATTAGAGGCTCCACATACTGGAGCACACTTCGGGCATATGGGGATAATTGAAGGCTGATCCTAATGGAAATGGATCTATGCTCGCAGGGATAAGTGGTACGGTCACGCGGCTCCGGATAATGCCGCTTCAACGAGGGGTGGCGGCAGACGTGGCCCAGCGGCAACACAACAAACCCAACGCTGTTCGTGAACAACACCGTGGCGGCCCTGAGAGGAAGAGTCTATAATAGGGGATTGTCTTAGGCAATGCCACTTCTTCACGGCACACAGAGAGGCCACAGAGGTGGATCAAAGTTGGAGACGGCACTTTTACCATATACCAAGGCGCCTGAAAAAAAGTAAATTATTAAAATTCCTCCCGACTAACGGCGGTGGAGTGTTCTGCAGAGGCTCGAATTCAACGGGCTGCCCCGATTAGTGCTGCGGGTGGACTAACCACAGGGTGCGTGCCATCCACGTTCGAGATGCCGTGATGTCCTTCGAAGAAGCGTAGGCCATCGTATGCCGCGCGTCATGGTTCCAAATTTGCTACATTAAAAAAAACACTCGCAAATTATTCACTCGGGAAGCACGGGGCAATTTCCGCCCACCCCCCCCCCCCTCCCCCCTACTGTGAAAAACGATCAGGGCTCTCGCTGAATGAGTCTTGAGACTCATTGAGCTTTCCTGGGGAAAACGAGCGTGTATGTACGTATGTATGTGGAACTTCACTCGCACCATACGTAGCCAACCGTGCTAATTGGATGCTGCCTGAGAGCCTGGTTAATGCCTTGCGAGGGCGGCAGAGGGGCAGGGGTGGGTGGAGGGCTACGTGGTAGACAGCGAAGCAAAATCCAAGGTTGTATTGTACTGTACTTCTATGCCTTCACCACCAACCCACACTGACCATGCGAGCACAGTCACCGAAGTGGCCAGATGTGCCGACCCCAAGTGAGAAAACGGAATCGGATCGCCGAAGACATCTTTTGAGAAACGATTAAAGCGACGGGGCAAACCAAAGTCGAACGACGGACAGGCGAGCGAGGACGCAGGCGCGGAATGCTCCGGCAGGCGGGGTGGGGCGATGAGCTACGCGAGCCGATGTTAGACGGCGCGGAAGGATGAGACACGCACGGCATGTGGTTGTCACTTGGAATGAGTCAGACGGTGCGATGGGAAGGTGAAGAGGTGGAGAATGCCAATGGCTCCAAGCAAGGTGTGTATTGGGGGGGCCATATCTAAGCACAATTACGATGAAGATTCTGCCGGGGAGAATGGAAGTGATGGAAACCACCTGTCAATGGGCACCGACTCAGCTCAGACGATGTGACATGAGATATATTTCATAACAATTGCATTTAGTGGGCCAGAGTGTGTAATCAACGTGGGACACTTTGCACAACAGTTTACAGTTCGATTCCCCCGGCAGGAAAATTGGCGAAGCATATCGTTTGTCTATATAAAAGTGTACGTTTAAGAACGCTTGACATCATCACTCGCGAGGGCAGGTCACTGAGAATTCGTCTGTTTGCAGCTTGACGGATCAAGTTTTGTGAAGCACACTACTGTGTAATGACGTTGATAGAACGAATGATTAACATGAAGGCAAAATAACCGTCAGTAAAGGGGTGAAACGATTACGCAAAGTGGCCGGAGAAGGAAAAGTGTTTATGCCGTATTAGAACGCCACCAGAAAACTCATTTCTTTAGAACTGCATTTATTTTTAAATCCTTTATATTAAGTTTGCTTGCTTGCGTGCTTGCGTGCTTGCTTGCTTACGACCGTGCAAATTATTTAGGTCGTTTTTTAACCTACTTCCCGTGATCCAATCGAGCTGACATTTTGCACACAGACTCGTTGTGCGTGACAATTAATTTTCGTGAAAATTTTTTTCCAAAATGTTACACTGTTTAGGGAAAAAAAAAATGAATTACCAATTGCTTAATGCTGGCAGATAATCATCTGACCCATAGGTGGCAGCCATCTCAAGCCAGAGGACGAGAGGACTCTAGCCGCCACGCATATAAAGGATTTATAGTGAAACACTTTTTTTTAACGGGTTCATTTTTTTGTCCCCCCCCCCCCCCGCACCTATGATTATCACGGTTGGCTACGTACGGTGCTAAACAAGTTCAACTAACACACAAACATACGACTGTGTAGATACAGCGGTAGCATAGCAGTTAGCACACTGTAGTATGAACCCATCAAACTGAATTTGATTCCCGGGCATGGCAGGCGAACACCATCGGCGATTTCCTTCTGGACATCCGTGAAAAAGAGCTTAAGAGCTCATCAGTTTCCTCCAGTCCAAATAAATATTCTGATTTTGGGAGATATCTGAACTGGCCATGGGTGCACCCTTCCCCTTCACCAACCCGCACTGCTCATTGTGATGAAGCATGGTTAAAAAAAGAAGATGTAAAAAAATAAAACCTGTACATCTCTCCGGCGGGGCTGTCCCCGCGTTTCAAATTTAGCTCCTCGGAGAAGCTTCCAGCACGTGGAATGAAACGTCGGACATCAAGCCGAACAGCACACGGGGAGGGGTAGGGGGCAGCAGCCGGTAAACACACGGGAGAGCGAGCATGAAGCTGTGTCGGGAGTGTTACGATATAATCCTACGAGAAGTCTGATTGACGTCTTGCTGTGTCGGGCACTGCGGTGGCGAGATGTTAACTACCTCGCCTGGTATACAGGAGGTTGTGGGTTCGATCCCGGCTCTGCCGCCTGTTTATTTGGAGTTTGCGTGTCTCTCTCCCCCGTGGTTTCGTGGATTTTTCTCCGAGTCCCCTGGTTTTCCCCTCCACATTTAGAAACAACGTGCGCTTAACAGTATTTAGCTGAATATACATTTCCACGTGATAAGCCACTTCGTTGACCTATCATTCGTGGACAGGTCACTTATGAAAAAGACTTATATAGCTCAGCGGGCCTTACCTGGTAAAATAAAAATAGTTTAGTTTTTGTTTAGTGCCGTATCAGCTGACCTTTGCAGCAGCTGTGTTCTGCTCGAGGCTTTTCACTGACAATCCCTCGGTCGATCCCTCCTGGCTCAGAGAGACACCGATGCCTCCACTCTCCTCCTGCAGCAAGGGCGCAGCAAATTGTTGACAACAGCACGATAACAACAATGGGCACCACTCTCAGTGACAGTGACGTCACCCGCAGCTCCTGTGTCAGCCTAGGTGAACTTTTGAGGCTACGTGAAGTGTTTCCAAGGATCGCCGGAAAGAGGTTATGGGACAGACGCAGGTTGACTGAGATGACAGGCAGATGCAGCACCACCTGTGATTCCCACTGTTCCAAGTTGGTTGCCGAAGGGCGGCTGCCACCAACTACGTAGTGGTGTATATAATAAAAGAAAAAAAATATCCGCCGTGTAGCCTTAACAGACTGTAGGGGCAAGTGCTGTTAGCGAGCACCTATGAAGGCCGGAACGGTACGCGAGGGGGTGGGTGGCCAGCACCACGCCCGACCGCCTTTGTCTCCCCAGTGGGGCGATGTTTACACACCGCACCATTTACTCATTTGAGGCTGAGGCGACCTAGGGGAGGCCTGGCATTGGTTCTGATAATCGTCACTGGTGTTGGCCGTGAGCAGGAATCGAACCCGGGTCGTCGGGTTTATAGCGCAGCGTGCTAACCGCTACACTACCGCTCCCCACAATACACACACCAACACGTGCACACACTGACAAAGATCATCCGTATAGCCTTAGGGGCAAGTGCTGGTAGAGAGCACCTATGAAGGCCAGCACAGCACATGAAGGGGTGGGGGTGGCCAGCACACACACAGATTGCTCGTGCATAAACATTTTCAACTTTGGGTGGATAGCATAACATTTTTTTTTACTAAATAACTGTGCACATCACCGATGCGATTAGCGACACAGACGAAAGGTGTACACTCACCTTAGTCACAACGACATCGTGCACGTCTGGGAAGGAGGAGAAGTCCCCTTTGGGTCGTAGGGGTGCCTGGCCTGAGGAGGCTGCCGAGCTGTGGCTCTGATAAGAGAGAGAGAGGGCAGACAGAGAAGGGAAATGCCACGGGCGAGAGAGATGGTGACGCTAGGCGATTGTAGCCCAACACGTAGCAACTGAGAGAGAGAGAAATGGCTCAGTGGCAATTCCTCCTGTTTCATGATACTTCTCTTGTCCGTATGCATATGTGCAGATAGGTTTATGTTTTGCGGTTAAGCCATAGTCCCCACATACCGCTCGTATCAATGTGGATAAGAGGAGCGGCGACCCACTACTCTGTAGAGTAACATTCGTAGAAACGCTTGTTACAATATGAACAGCGCATTGAAAACACGTACAATTTTACGTACTGTTTATAAAGTGTGTTCACAAATCCACACTGAGAAACACGATGATTGACAGAGGGGTGTAAATTATTTTTTCGATAGTGTATTTAAATAGAGGTACTGCAGGTAAGTAGCTTTCAGTTTTAAAGGCATAGTTTAACAAGACAACACTTGCCACCATCCTTCAAACCCATTGGTGCAAAAGAGCCAAGTTTTTGTTTACATTATAATGTAATGTTTACGCGAGAGCTGGGGCCTTATGGGACCCCGGGGTCCCGCCATAAGGTGAATTTGTTATCCACTCAATTGTCTGTTCAGAAGTAGAGGAGTTCTCGTCCGTTCCTCCTTTAAAGGAGAGGGAAGACAGCAGCAGCAGCAGCGGCGGGATGTTTACGATGCGCTGTCCACGGTTTGGCATCCGTGGCCGCACCACTCGCACGCCGCCGAATCTTTGATGCGCATCAGGTGACTGCATCGGCCGATTCGCTTCATGGTCGACCTCCCCGGGCTTCAACCTTCCATGCCGCCAATGGTCGACCGACTTTAATGAGGGCGATATCGGCAAGTAAAATAAAGATCTCGTGATTGGTCATCATCATCCAGTGCAGTGGTTCTAAACCTCTGGTCCGAGCAACCCCTGGGTGCTCTGCAAGGCAGCGGGGGAATAGGTCCATGGAACTGTTGCAGATAACATTTGGTTTCACAAAACACCGGATTTATCTTGTTGCATGAAAGTTCACCAACACCTACCGCTATTGAGAGTTGGCAATGATACACGGGTTCAGCACGGTTAGGAATCCATAATAGTTTTTTTGGGTTAGATCACGTTCATAGAAATGTGTAGTTGAACTCGCCACCATCCGACACAACCAATTAGTAAGGTTTGTAACGTAAACAAAACATGGCAACGTTACTAGTTCAGCACACCGGTGTGTTGGAGAGTAAACCCACAACATTTACAATTCGAGTACGACGTTTCGCCAATATTATGGATAGTATTGTTTGCGAAATCCTACGTGTTAAACTGATGGTTAGGAATCACTGATTTATTTGATTTGTTCATCCACTGCTGGATGAAGGCCTCCCCTCCCCGCCCCCGTGCCGTCACAACCACCCCCGCAATCCCCATGAATGTCAACATACTAAGGTGGCTTTGCATTAAGATGCTCTAAGAATCAATATTTGAATTCCTATGCGAGTTATACACGGCACTATTTAATTATTCATCCTGGAGAGTGGCGATGTAGCGGTTCGCAAACTGTGCTCCGAAACCGCTGAAAGCGAGGTTCGGTTCCCTGACCACGGCTCACGTCGTTCACAAACGACGGATGAACCGGTCAAGTAAGCAGCCCACCGCCCTTCCACCCCCTCCGTCAGCAACCCACACCGACCATTGGGGGGGTGAGGGGCGAAGCATGGCCTAACAACCCGCACAACCGCCACGGTATCATTGTATGCATGTTGAACCTCTTTCGCACCGTACGGAACCAACCGTGCTAATCAGAGGTGCCATCATCCAGCAGATGATTGAGTGGAGGCTGTATTCCCCCCCACCCCACCCCCGCCCCACCCCTCCCCACTATAAGTCAGCCTGTGGATGAGCATCAGATACCGGTTAAAAAAGCGACAGTGGTGCGAGACTAAGCCGCTGACCTATTTAAAAGGGAGCGAGCGCGCATGTGCAACAGAGCGAGCGAGCGAGCAAAAAAAAAAAATGTCAGGGTCATCGTTCAAAACGCCTGCATTTAGTGTGTGGGGAGGGTGGTGGGGGGGCACAGGGGAGAGGGGAGGGGGTGTGCACGGGGGGGGGAGAGACCGGGCACGAGAACGACCAAGTGCAATCCGGAGCAATCTCGAGGGAAACCTCACCTCGAGCGATCTCGCCCCGGAGTGAGCGCTGGACGGGGCGGAGATGGAGATGGGAAGGGGGCTCCGGATGGGAGGCACGGCCATCTGGTTGAGGGCATCCTTGTTCCTGCAGCAGGAGGGCGCGAGGACATGAGCGCACATCGTCGACAGCGGGGTTTCCAACCGCGCTCTTTCCCCCGCTCCAGCTCGGGCAGGAGCCTCGTGAATAATAGATGCACATGTGATTTATTGGGTTTCGGTGAAAGTGAAAAAAAAAGAAACGGCTCGAGGCTCCGGCGAGTAACGACGGACGGGCTCCCGGAACGAGAGCGAGTTGGGGCGTTGGGACGCTGTGCAAGCCGCTAGGATGTCCGTTGCATGTGGTTTTTTTTTTTTTCAAAGGCCAATTTGTGTCACTCGGTTGCTTTGTGTACTGTACGCGGGGGCTGTTTTACAACGGCCATCACATGCTTTCGAGAGCGCAAGTTCAGCTGTCACGGCTCATTTTTTTGCAGAGACATTTGGGTGGCATAGCGCGCGTACGCTCGCGTAAGCAAACGTCACGAGGCCTTGGATTCGATTCACACGGCGTGGTTTCTGTTCGCCAACGAGAGCCAATTCGGATTACAAACGCACGCGTCATACGCGCACGTTAGAACCCTGTAGGAAAACACAGGTGGCTACGGCATGGCTCTGCAGCAACGGATTCTGGAACGTATCTGCGCAGAAACTTTTCAGCGTTTTCCCCTCACCTGTGCAGGTGTTCTCCTTGAACGCCAGTTTGCTACACGGTACACAGATGCAGACGAACATCTCATTGTAGGACGTTCTGACAGATTGATCCTCGGGGACTCTTTGGCGAGGCTTTTCTCGATAAATAAATACAAATTGGATGAATATAGCATCTAAAAAAAGCAAACGTCGCAAAATGCTACAATTACTGTTACAAGGGCCATTTATTCCGGCTCCGTTCCCATGACAGACCAAGGCTCCCACCAAGGCCGTGCGGGAAAAGCGCGTGGCTTAGTTTGGCGCCAGCTACGTGAATACAGTGTCTGTAAAAACAGCGGCGCTGTGCCTCTCTCAATAAAACTAACGCGGAACCGCTTGCGCGCTCTGAGATTCAGCGGTGAATGAGACTCACCCTGCAACTCGGAGACGTCTCCGAACAGGAAAGGGTTAAGTTGTACGCAGCAGCCTAACAACGCATTCAGTCGTTGAACACAACCGCGTGACGCGCGCGCACACGGCCAAGTTTGTCTGAACAGGTGGCTTTCAGTCGCACGCACGCACACACGCTCTCGCACAATTGCTCACATGCGGACTGAAATAATTTCACGCGTGAAAAACGTTGCATTTTTCTTTTTACAATATGATTTTGGGGACGTGCGTGCTGCGCGCATACGCCCAAAACAAAAATGTGTGTAGCCTTAACTGACTGTTGGGATAAGTACTGTTAGCTAGCACCTATGAAGGCCGGCACGGCACACAAGGGGATGGCCAGCACCACACACGGCCGCCTACGCACCGCACCAGGTACTCATTTGAGGCTGAATCGACCCAGGATGAGTTTAGATAATTGTCACTGGTGTTGGCCGTGAGTGGGAATCAAACTCAGGTCGCAGGGTCCATAGCGCAGTGAGCTAACCACTACACTACCGCTCCCCCCCTCACGCGTGCACGCATGCACAGCATGGGAAGCTGATTTCAATTTCGTGACAAAACGTTTGGTGGTTGCAGGTAAGCCGTCTCCAGTTCGGTGTGAACGCGAGCGCAAGCGAACGGACAAACGAACGAACGAACGCATGACGTTTGTGGGAGGCGGTTCTGGGAGGGCAAAGCACGGAGGAGGAGGGAGGCCATGTCTTGAATCCATTTGCTGCCGCCCACCTTCTGTGCGATGGCAAACCAGGAAGCGAGCAGGCGCCTTGGAAATTGAAAATTGACCACGGAGAAACGCACCGGCTCAATCGCTCTCTCTGTCTCTCTCCCCCCACTGTCACTCGAACCCCAGCACTACGAGGAAGAGCAAATGTAAGTCGACGTCCGTTCTGTCTCACAAATATAAACATATTTTGGTTATATAAAGTTGGATTTGTTTTAACAAGCAAACTCTGGACCGGTTTCTAACTTTCTGGGTCTCAATAGCAGTCGGGTTTGCCAAAATAGTTTTTTTTAGTTTCCAGATGGTACTTATAAGAGCATTCCATCTAAATAATGGGGCCCTGTTAATTGCAAAAAAGCTAAATTGTATGCAAACTACCTGCACCGACGTCAAACATCATCCCCCAGCCAAAGCAAAAAAACAAACCGCGGGATTTCATTTAATTAGCAGCTAGCGTGCAGACAGCTCCATGGAATGGGCTGCGTATGATTGACGGCGTCAGAAAAATGACAGCTGCTTTTACATCTCAAAAAAACCATTGTGAGCGTGTCGATCCAGGTGGAAGCGACAATATAAAATCGTTAAGGAAACATGTCGACACTTTCACAAAAACTGGGCTTTGTTTTTCGTCCCCCTCTCTAAATTAACGAGGCTGTCAAATTTGCAGACCCGCAGCTCTTTCCTCGTGCCTTGCTGCATGTGCGCCGACACAAAGCACTCGGGGGCTCCTTCACCGTGAGCGCGGCCCGTAATTTTACACGCTAATTGCACGCGACGCCGCGCTGCCACGGTAACGCGCACACGATTCCACGCGCAGCACAAACGACCTCGGTGGACGCTCGCACGCGGCGAAGGTACGTACCCGCCCGCGCAGCAGAACGTGGAGAGCAGAAACATTGCCGATCGGATTCTGAAACGTAGATTTTTTTTTATTGCTTGCTTGCTACTAGCCACCCCGGTTACTCCTCATCCTCCTCAAAAATGGAGCGTCTTCATTTTTACTGCTTTTGTATATTTCGCGGGAAAAAAAACGACGGCAGAAATTACGCGAAACACATGCCCTGAAATTAACGTGGCAGGCCCGAGAATGATCCTTGAATACGGTTTAAACCGCACGATCACTGGCGTCAGTCAGGCTTCCCCGCCGTTCACCGACGATGGCACGTTTTGCGTGGTTTTTGTTCCCCCCCACTATCAGATGCCGGCGAGCGAAAGGCTGCTCCGCTCAGACGCACGCGGGTTCTTTTGCCTGCAGGGGAAGAGCGCAGCGCGAAGACAACCGGCTTCCAAAGCGCCACTCGATAAATTAAATCTCAAAGAGTGCTGCTCGTCTGAGCACACCCTTCGCGGGAAGCTGGTGACGTCAAGCCGAGATGATATGATAATGCACTTCCCCCCCCCACCCCACCCCGCAGCTCTAACGCACGTAAATATTAAGGGAGGTTTAACCCGTTTTTCTCTGTGTGCGGTGGGTTGCTGCGGCTGTTGGTGCGGGCCAATTTCCGCGTGACCCTATCGTCAGGTCTTTTCGAAGCGAGTTCACAATTTTAAGCGTCAACCGAAAATGCGCGTCCTCAATGAAGACGGGCTCCTCCAGATGGTCCGTAATGAGTTTCCTTTTTTTTCTCCCGGCTCCAATATTGAAATTTAATTGAAAAATAACTGCAGATGTTTTTTTTTACAAGTGTGCGTGCGTGCGCGTGTGTGGCTGTGCGTGGACGCATAATTATTGCGCGGAGTGTCTCTTGGGCAGCACCTCGAAAACTCAACTTCACAGATGGCGCGGTGACAACTTGACACCACCGCAACTTCACGTTCCATCGCGTCAACGGCACGTCGCACAGATGGTGATTTCATGTCCGGCTCGCACCAGACCCCTTTTTACAACCGCAAATCCGTTGCAACTGCTAATCACACAGATTGTGCTACAGCACCTGAGAGTAAAGGGACAGAGAAGAGATTGCAATCTGCCACTGTCTTATACAGAAGAGAGAGAGAGAGAGATCTCCGAGAGGAGAGCATCAAGTGTTTCCTCTTTAAGTCTGATAAACACCGGGCTGGAGAGGCACCCAGCTGTCCGCTTCCGGCACGCACAGCAGGCGAAATCCAATTTTGTTTTTCAGAAAGGCAGTAGAAGATGTGGCAGAGGCGGAAAAAGGAGGCGGTGGCGGCTTGCACAATTTGGAAGCCACCCACCTAGGATCGTGGAAGGAGGGCAGATGGCGAGATGTTAACTACCTGGCCTGGAACAGGAGGTTGTGGGTTCGATCCCGGCCCCAATGCCTGTATATTTGGAGTTTGCATGTTTTAGAATCAACAGCAGGCGTTAAGAGTATTTGGCTGCTATAAATTTCCACGTGATAAGCCACTTTCGTTGAGCTATCGTTTGTGGCCAGGTTGCTTCTGAAAAAGAGCTACATAGCTCAGTGGGCCTTAGCTGCTAGAATAACATTAGTTTAAATAGTTTTACATGCATGGAATAGGCACTGTGAGAGAGAACGTGGAACTCGCGAGTCAGGCAACACACGTCAGTCGAAGAGATTGCGCCCACCATTAAGAGATGGGAAAGTGAGCTACGCGAGGACTCGTCATGGCTGGGAGGGGATGACCGTCACCGATCGAAACTTAACGGCGAAGTGGAAGCTGAAGGGGGTACCGTGTGACGAGAGCACATCCGCCGCGGAGATGGAGCAGATTAAAAAATCGGATAGTGCGCAGGTTCTAGATGGCCTGTTGCATTCGACAATAGTGAGGCATGGTGGTGGTGGTGGCTTTGGGGAAGGCTTCATCCACCAGTGGATTGATCCTAGATATGACGATGAGTATGATGATGATGATGATGCAACAGGAAGAATAAGCCTCCTGTAGGGCAGTAGTTCCACAGCGTGGCTACTTCTCACTTCTCCGCCAGCCGCCAACCACTACACCGTGACATTTAGATTTTCCAATATATATTCATACATGTATTCACAATTCTGTTATTAATATTTAATGAAGCCTCTAATTTTACCCAAAAAGCTTTTATTCCGAAAGTTCAAACAGAATTCATGCCTATTCTTTAAAAAAAAGTTGCCGTAATTACATTTTTAATTAAGCCGAATATAACGCCATGTGAGATATCAGGCAGCGTAGCGGTGGTTTCCGAATGTGCGATGCTCAGACCTCTGGTGGTTTCTATTGCACGGTTGGCCGGCGAATATTGTTTGAGGGGTGACTTTGGTCCGTGGACACAGGAAGGGTGGAAACCACTGGTGTAGGTGTGACGTTTGGAGATGTTAACTACCTGGCGTGATATACAGGAAGTTGTGGGTTCGATCCCAACCCTGATGCCTGTATATTTGGAGTTTGCATGGTCTCCCCGTGACCATGTGGATTTTATTCTGGGTCCTCATTTAGAATCAACGTGCATTTAGTAGTACAGTAAAACAAACCTTGGATTGCGAGCATAATTCATTCCGGAAACGTGTTTGTAATCCAAAGCACTCGTATATCAGTTGTGATCACGTGACGCTCGGCAGACAAAGCGTATACACGCACTACTCGTATTGCAAGAGCTCGCTCGTTTATCAAATTAATATTTATTAAAAAAATTTGCTCGTCTTGCAAAACACTCGCAGACCAAGTTACTCACCATCCAAGGTTTTACTTTGTTTGGTTGCTATAAATGCCCATGTGGTAAGCCTCTTTGTTGAGCTATCATTTTTGATAGCTAGGTCGCTTCTGAAAAAGAGAGCTGTGTGCAGCTCAGAGAGCCTTACCTGGTAAAGTAAAACAATAATTGTTTATCTTCTTGGTTCTTTCGGTAAAGTCACGTAGAAGGGAAGTAATAAAATAATACAAATAAAACATAATAAAACATGCTTTATTTTTATTATTTTATTAATAAAAATAAAACATAATAAAATGTTTAATTTTTATTATTTTATTACTTCCCTTCTACGTGACTCTACCGAAAGAACCAAGAAGATGAATCCCTGCAGTCACGAAAGCTTTAAATCAATAATTGTTTAGTTTCGGTTGCAGGAACGTAAGAATCGTGTACAAATTGAGGATGCAACGGATGTTTGGGGAGTCGATGCGGAAACAGACGGAAGCAATGGAGACCTCAGGGAAGGGAGGAGTCAAAGGATTTCCTGTTGCATATCAGTCGGTTATATTTTTAAAATCCAACTGTAGCCATCACACAAACACACACATTCAACAACAAAAATCGCCCCCCCCATATAGAATGCTGTTGGCAAGCACGTATGAATGCCGGCATGACATGCGACCGATTGACGTGGTCAACACCGGCGTCTAGACCCCCTTGGTCTCCCCAGTACTAATTTAAGGCCGAGTCAACCTAGGAGAGGCCCAGCACCAGTTATTACATGACTCGCCACTGATGCTCACCATTGGCAGGAATCGAATTTGAGCTTCCGGGTTCATATATATATCTATAACACGTTTTCGCTCCCATGCTGTTCTTCAATTTTGGAACACATTTCACACAACGCAGGACGCGTGCCGCTGTAACACGGAGCGTGCCGCTGTAACGCGGGGCGTGCGCCGTTACGTGGTTTTACTTTCTTGAGCTCCGCGGCTGAGCGGTCCAGCAATTCAGTATGTGGAACGATACATTAACGTGGCGACGGCGTACCCTCAGTCTTTTGTCCCGCCATCTCGCTGTGTGCGCGTACATCGTATCTCGGGCAAACTTTATCGTCATTACATTATTTATGGGGATATTGTTTCCGCTTTACGCGTTGTTCGCTTAACACGCACTTTTCAGGAAGGCACCTACCACGTTAAACGAGCATGTATGTGTATGCATGTTGAACTTCTTTCGCACCGCACATAGATAACAGTGCTACTAAGGCAATGACAAAGATTCCCCGCCCCCCAGCATGTAGCCATGTTGGGGTGAATGCTATTCCACACGCACGCACAGACAGCACTCAGGCTCAGGATGCAATCGGTGTAAAGCCAAAGCCAAAGTCATATGCTGGGCAGCTTTAAATAGTTCGTTAGGTTCACTGAAAGAACACGGCGCTCACCGAAGAAGGACCACTTTCACTTTGGACGGCGTGCCTTTGATGATGGCCGACGCGTTCTGGTGGCTTCTGCCATGCAAGATCTGCCCGTTAATCTGTAACGAGACGAACAAAATGACGAGCAAAATTGAGCGGCGCGAGGTTTGTTGTCGCTCGCCAGCGAGCTGAACGCGGTGCCGACAGAAATCACTCGCCAACAGGAAATGTAAATATTATGAATTGAAAAGTAGCCCTGTAATGGTGCTTATGATGGGTAATGGGTTCCATTAGTGCTGTACACGTTGCCACTGCCAAGTGGCTGTGATGGAACGTCAAAACTATCCATGCACGTATAAAATAAAGACTACAGTGTTACAGTTTCATATTACAGTTTCCATCTCGGTGTCTTCCTCTCTCTCTCTCTCGCTGAATATGGGAATGTTTTACTTTGCGCGCAATAGTAGATCGATGTAATTTGGCTGTTTAGTTATCAGCATGACCCGCTTGTATTTTTAGAGCGGTCCTGTTTTTATCCAACAGCTAATGCCGTGAACATTTTTTTGTAAACCTAAAGGCCCTGCAAAGAAATGTGAATATTTGTGACAATAATTATACCGTGATTTTTGTGCGACTAATGCCAGTGGCGAGTGATGTCCATGAACATTCTTTGGTCCCTTCCCACCGATGCTATACTGGCCGGTGTGAATCCGGCGTCGGTGATACAAAAAAAAAACCTCAACGATCAATACGGTGTGGGGGGCAGGCGTTCTTCCAGCAGTGTCATTGCAAAGTGCCCTCAATTCCTATTATTTGTCTTCTGATTGTGACTAATTTCACATTGAGTACAATGACCCGATCATACAAACGTCCCGGGCGGAACAACCTGCATAAATTACAGGGTACATTCTTGAAGCACTGCTGTGAATGTCACTTGGTAATTATGTCGAAGTGGAATGACAAAATACGCCACAAAGCCACAAAAACACGTTGCTTGCCAGGGCAGAACATTGCTCCGCAAAGGCCGACAAAGCACTCAATCCGCACGGCAGATGCACCCAAAATAGAAACCCAAGTCAACGAGTGGCCAAGAGAACCGTGGAGGCCCCTCCGTCGACCGCTTCAGAGCGGGACGTAAAAGACAACGACCCCCCGACCCCAACCCACCCCCTCACGGCGCGGTTACCGTGACCACCCGAAACTGCACGACGGGTGACGTCGCGAAGAGCCGCATCGTTCTGCTGCGCCGGCTCCCCGGCGGGCTGGAAGGCGTGAGCCGCCATATAGGGGGCGCCACGGTGGCCAGGAGATGTTAACTCCCTCGCCTGGTATGCAGGAGGTCGTGGATGCGATCCCCGACCCTGACGCCTGCTGTACATTTGGAGTTTGCGTGTTTCTCTCCCCGTGGTCGCGTGGATTTTTCTCCGGGTCATTTAGTTTTAACCTCCACATTTAGATCCATGCGTTAGGAGTATTTGGCTGCTATGAGTTTCCTCGTGAAAACCCACTTCATTGCGCTATCAATTGTGACCAGGTTGCTTCTAAAAAAAGAGCTACACAGCTCACTGGATCTTATCTGGTAAAAAAAAACAATTATTTGTTATTTCCGAAGCTATCATCGCACGGCTCGCAAACCCAAACCCGGGTGTACACTTCACACAAACTTTCCCTGCGCTAGAAGAAGAAAATCATCGGTGAGTTGCCCCGACAGAACCAACAAGAGGTACATATCAGAGGAGAGGCCACTAAGGGGGGGTGGGGGGGGTGCAGAAAGTGCAGACTGGGGCACCGCAGACGCATTTTGATTGCTCGTGGGAGGATGCGAAAGCCTTGCGTGCGTAAGTGCGTGGCGTGCGCTCGCCCTCAATCGGCCCCGTGTGCAGAATTCCTCCTCTCCACCCCTCCACCCTCCACCCTCCACCCTCCACCCCTCCACCCTCCACCCCTCCACCCCTCCACCCCTCCACCCTCAACCTTCCACCCTCGACCTTCCATCCGATACTCTCCTGACACCCGCCTGTTCATCATGGGACTTGCCGTGTAAACGTACGGGCTATGTAGTCAACCCATTTGCCGGATGAGTCTCATGATGCAGCTGCTCACACGGAGCTATAAATGCCCTGGTAGTGGCATTGTCTTTCGTGCTGTTCGCCTTTGGGCGTCCTCTGGTCTAACACTTTGAGACTAGGCTCAAAAGAAAGCCGTCTCTGGTGTGGACCAATCCGTGTCACAGACAATGGCATATACAACCAGAGCATATTTTTTGTTTGCATCTTCACCACAAGTACGTGTGGTTAATGCAAACATGATGCCTTGCAAAAGGTTTCTGTTTGGTGTTTTAACATGCTAACGTCTGTTTTATTGCCAGAAACGTTAAAACCTACTCTCCTATACTCTCCTGCTCGCTGCATTCCCCTGTTCGTGTAAATTTCCGCTATGCAGTCAAGCCGTTGTCGGATGAAGGCCTCGCAATGCTACATGGGTCATGGGGGGGGGGCATGGTTTGTATGACCAAACCTCACCGGGCTGCTCAGTGCGGATTGGTGAATTCCAGCGGTACTGTAGAGGTGGGTAGAACAGAAGTACAGCGCGAAAATGTAGGGCTTTGCTGCAGTCTTCACCGTACTGCCTGTGAATACCTGTCGTGCATGGTGGTCACCCATCCAAGCATTATCCAGGCTCAACTGCGCCCATCTTCGGAGGTCTGATGAGATCGGGCGAAATCCGGCCGATTTTGTCAGATGCATTCCGCAGTGAGCTCCCCCGCTAATCTGGGAAAGCCTCGCCGATTTGAAAAATAATTCGGTTTAGTGCCACTGGTTTGAAGAAAGCGTACGTATATAAGAAAATAGCTTCAATTATTTATTTCTGTCAATGTTGCAAAGTGTAACCGGATGCATCGCCGAGGTATTTTTAATTTCTTCGAAATATTTGAGTCAAAATGGTTGCGCTAAACCGATTAATATTGTCGTGCAAAATAAGGTCTATTGGACTTCTAGACTAATTTTTGCGGATGGTACTACCAGCGTTTAATTACATCCTGTTCATTCATTCATTCTGTTCGTGTCCATGAAACAAACTTCATCACATCAACCAGGATCATTTGTGGGGAGGAGGAGGTGGTGGGGCAGAAACAGGGCCCCCCAGCAACGGGACTTGAGTGATCATCGGCTGGGCACGGGTCCTCGAGCAGACGACACCGGAGCAGAGGAGCGAGCAAGCATCGTGCGCTCTACACCGGAGAGGCAGATCGTGTTCCGGGCCTGGAGACGCCACAACCGTGGCTCTGGCTCCGAGTCGCGTGCCTACTCCCGTCGGCCAGAGACCCAGAACGTGTTGGGAAATGAGACCCGTTGTATTTTGTCATTCCTTCCGATATTCGGAAGGCACTGCGAGCTGTGCACTTTTAAATAATCTAAATTTAAAAATAATTTCTTTAAGGAACTGCTCTTTCTGTTTAGTTATCCTTCCCCCGCACCTCCGATTCACACGGTTGGCTACGTACAGTCCGAAAGACACATAACACATACTTAAGAAACTAAAGTGCTTGGAGGAACTCCACATAGACTGGTGGAGAACACTAACAAGAGAAGTGTGCTCAATTCAATAAATCATTGGCCTACATCCATGTGCACTTATACAATCGTCCTGGATTTATAAATGTACCAAAACATAATTGTCCTGGGTTTATAAATGCACAGTACTAACATTATTTGCGATATGTGGGGGTTTGGGGGGAGTTCGGCATGTATATATGTTGAACTTCTTTCGTACCGTACACAGCCAACCGTACGAATCTGAGGTGCGAGGGAGAGACAACGAACTAAACACAAAAAGCAGTTCTAAATGAATAAGTGCTCCATCTACATTTAAAAGTGCCTAGATCCAGTGGGCTTCCTAATATCGGAAGGAAGAACGTTCCAGACGGCCGCGGAAGCGAATTCAAAAGCGCTCAACGTGGCGACCGTCTTTGTCCGACGGCCAGCTGCTGCTGCTTCTGCTGCTGCAGCTGCTGCTGCTGCTGCGGTGACGACCGGCGAGGCGTCGCAGTTCATTTGTGGCAAGCACCGTCCATGTGCAACGAGCGCGACATCATAACGCGCGTTCGTTGGGCAACGCGGGAAGCCAACGCGCCTCTGCGAGCGCCGGACAGACGGCACTGCGCGGCACGGATCGCACCTCCAGCAGCTCGTCCCCGATCTGGATCTGTCCGTCGTGGGCCGCCGCGCCGTCCGGGTGGACGCCCACGACGAAGACGCTCATGCGCGAGCGATCCTTGTTGCCCGCGAGGCTGAGGCCCAGGCCCCCGCCGCCGCGACCCTTCTCCAGATCCAGGGACAGCACCTCGCCCGGCAGGTGGCCGTAGCGCTGCCGCAGCTTGTCTGTGAAGACAAAGGTCAAAGGTGAGTCCCCCCCGGTCCCCCCGTAGAGGCTTAACAGATGTTTGGGGGCAAGTGCTGTTAGCGCGAGAACCAGTGAAGGCCGGCACAGGACGCGAAGGGGTGAGTGACCAGCACTGTCATCTGGCCTCCCTAAGTGGCGACATTTACACGTGCACCACGCACGCACGAAGGCCGAGGTAGGCCCACCGCCACCTGTGTAAGAGTACCTTTGCTGGGAGCGAGCGCCTGTATATATTTACGTTGAACCTCTTTCGCACCGTACTTAGCCAACCGTGCTAATCAGAGGGGGGCGAGGCATACGTATAGTGCATGGAGACTGTCGGGCAAAGTGCTGTTAGCGATGACCTATGAAGGCCGGCACGGCGCATGATGGGTGGTGTGGCCGAAACCGACACTTGGCCGCCTTTGTTTTTTGTCTCTCCAGTGCTCATGTTTAAACTCGGCATGAGGTACTCATTTAAGGCTGAGTCGACCTAGGGGATGCCCAGGACTGTTTCGGACATAATTCTCCACTGATGTTAGTCATGGCCAGGAACTGAACTCGGGTCGCAGGGATCACAGTGCGTTGCGTTCATTAATTCATGCGTGCACACAATGAAAGGCTACACTAACACGACAGGGACAGGTGCTGTTAGCAAAGGCCTATCTAGGCCAGCGACTATGCTGTACCCGTTTAAGTCCGAATCTATACACGGGCGCCACAGTAGAACAAGAATAACCCAGGCGGGTGGTTGCAATGCTTGCGTAGCTTGCCTGACTGCACACTAAGGGAAGAGTGTCCCCTATGCCGCTCTCTTCAGCATTGGAGACTGTAATGGTCGTTGCTGCATTTTGCCGCCCCTGTGCGCTGTCAGTGCTTGCTCACGAAACACAAACGAGCGGGTGGTGTGGCCAGGGTCAAGTGCAAATAAAGATTCCCCGTATAGCGTTAACAGACTGTTGGGGCAAGTGCTGTTAGCGAGCACCTATGAAGGCCGGCACGTCACACGAGAGGGTGGGTTGCCAGCACCGTGCCCGACTGGCCTTGTCTCCCCAGATACTCATTTAATGCCGAGTCAACCTAGGAGAGGCCCAGGACAAGCAAATCCAAGGGTGTTAAGATATTCGCCACCGGTGTTGGCCGTGAACGGGATTCGAACTCGGGTCGCCGGGTTCGTAGCGGCTGCACTCCCGCTCCACGCAATAACACGTGCAAACACATGCACGAAGAACACACACAAACACGCGATGACAACACACACGATGACAACACTCACGACGACAAATAACAACACAGCTGGGGACTGATTTCGGCTGGCACCGATGTAGTATTCATATAAAAGGCAGAGCTCTACATAAGGGAGTCGCAAGACAGCAGCCTGTAGTCAGGTAACTGTCCCGGCAAAGTGGGCCCCCCCCCGTGTGGTTCTGTTCACAATAATAACAGGAGGAGGGTATCTTTCGATTTAAAGCTTTCGCGACTGCAGGGATTCATATTCTTGGTCCTTTCGGTAAAGTCACGTAGAAGGGAAATAATAAAATAATAAAAATAAAACAATAAAATCCACCGACACTTTTTTCAAATTTTCTTGCTGTGGTTTTCACACCTTATGACGATTGCTTGTGTTGCAATCGAAACGTCGTGAGAATTATTGTTTATTTTTATTATTTCCCTTCCACGTGACTTTACCGAAAGAACCAAGAATAATTAGGGTACATTTGGTATTCGCGACATTCTTATCGCGCGCGCCCGAGGCTATCGTGAAGGAACGCCGTGAGGTTTCACAGACACAGCCCGCAGTAGGTGGCGGACAATGTTGCTTGTGTGTACCGTTCTTTCTTCTTTCGTACGGCTCATGTCAGATGCACAGCATCGACGACAATTTCACATTCAGGTGGTCAAGCCCAAACAAGCGCATCAGGAGCAGCGGAGGGAGTGCAGCGCCACAACGTCCGCTTCGCGTTTGTGGATCGGGCACTGCGTCCTTAGACGTTGTACGGTCTGTTCTGGATGACCGGAACAGTTCAGTAATATTTCGATTTAAAGCTTTCGTGACTGCAGGGATTCACCTTCTTGGTTCTTTCGGTAAAGTCACGTAGAAGGGAAATAATAAAATAATAAATAAAAAACATAATAAAATAATTCTCACGACGTTTCGGCCACAACGCAAGCAGCCGTCCTCAGGTGAAGACCAGGTCTGTCGGGGAGACAAGGCCGGCACGTCACATTCATTCAGACGCTGTCTCCCCGACAGACCTGGTCTTCACCTGAGGACGGATGCTTGCGTTGTGGCCGAAACGTCGTGAGAATTATTTATTATGTTTTATTAATATTATTTTATTATTTCCCTTCTACGTGACTTTACCGAAAGAACCAAGAAGATGAGTTCAGTAATCCCGAGTACATTTTTCGGGCAAGTTTCTAAGTTGAGCAACTTTGGACCACGACGCCGGTACAACAATGGCCCACTCAAGTTTCCAACGGCGTCAAAGGGGCCCTTTAACGCCCACTGCGAAGCAGACGGCCTGTCTTTTGCGGTGAATCCACAAGCAGCGCGGTAATAACCGGGGCGACCTGCCGGGGTCAAAAACCGCGAACGTTCGGAACAAGCGACGGATCGCGCCACCCAACTCTAGGTCGGCGTCTTTGCAACCGGTGACATTTTTCACGTGAATAAAACTCTAGATCTCTGTTCTTGTCAGGTTAGAGGTTTTACCTCTAGATTTCTAGTCAGACCAGAGATTTTTTCCTCTGGATATTTCGTGGCAGGTCAGAGGTATTACCTCTAGATCTATCATGTCAAGATAGAGGTTTTACCGGCAGAAATCTCTGCTTTTGTCAGGTCTCTCTGATGTTTGTGTTGAGTCTGTTGTCCTTGCCCCCGCACTTCCGATTAGCACAGTTGGCTACATACAGTGCGAAAAAAGTTCAACACACACACACATGCATCACAGCGTGACTGCAAACGTCAGTTCATCCGCGTACGTCCGGCACCATGGGATTTAAAGAGCAATTTCTCCATTTTCCTTGGGTCTTTCGGTAAAGTCGCGTAGATAGGTTCAAAGAAAATAACAAAACAACATTAGTGAGAAAGGTGAACACATTACATACTATGCCCAAGAAATAAGCCACTTCACAATCATACTAATGACTACCTGCATCATTACAGTGTCCAACATCTAAGTTGAACATCATGGAACTGAACTTCTTCAGTTATTGTTTTCATACACAGTATTGATCGTGCATCTCAATCGCAAGGGACCTGTCAAACTAGGATTGAACGCAATTATAAGGTTCATTAGAGGTTTTTTTTTGGTTTTGGGTTAGATCACGTAAATAAAGGTGTCGGTAAACCCGCCACCACCCAGCACAGCAAATGATTAAGGTTTGTCACGTAAACAGAACATGCCAAGTCGTTACTAGTACAGCACTAGAACAGCAACACCAGCCTCATCAGGCGACAGCCAGAGTTGTGGATAATTCGAGGGATAAATGTGACGTCATCACTTGTAAGCCAATCAGGTGCCAGGACCAGAGGGGAGGGGGAGGGGCGGTTGGGTAATTTCGGGTGGTGGCGGGTTAAACGACACCTTTATTTACGCGATGTCACCCAGAAACCCTCTATTACGGATTTCGGTCTCGAATGCCTCCCACGTGTTAAGGCGACTACCGATATGCGAAAACAAAAACAACATCAACAACAAAACCTCGATAAAGACAAGATGGAAATTAAATGCGCGTACGATTCCTTCCGCGGACTCGCAACGTAAAGGGCACGAGAGCGTTTGCGGAGAAAGTGCAGCGGAAGCCGTTGCTCTCATTCGCATTCAACACGCCATCAACAATCGGCCGTGATGCCAAGTCATCCATTCTTAATGCCTGCAAAGGGGAATATATTTTGTTGGAAGCAGCACTATTGCAAAACAGCGGTTGTCAATAAGCACTTTGCTGGGTGTTTGCAGCCCTTGTCGGCAGGGCAGAGGCGGGGTGCAGCAGTGGGAGAGGTATATCCAATCGAAGATGTAAAGCCGAGATGTAAAGCAGAAACGTCACGTTGCTTACATGAAACGTTAAATAATAAACGTGTCTAAAGCCTTCCAATCCAATGCCGCTGAACACATTTGATATGTGCGCCATTCAAAGGAAAGGTTATCACAGAGGCGCTGTGTGTCACAGATGGGTATAGTCTGCCAGTATGGGGCGATGTTGATATGAGGTTTTACTCAATTATAGCTACTTTGTGCAGGTCAATTTTAAACTTTGCCCAACTTGGGCCATGACGCAGGAACACACGTAGCTTGCTCTTCGATAAAATCAAGTCACGGGGAGGACATTTGACGTTCGTCGCGGATCGGACGTTGCGTGGATGTTTTTGGTCAAACCTCGGGTACTATGTTGAGAAATTAGTCGCGTGCCTACCCCTGTCTCTCAGAGACCCGGAACGTGTTCATTGAGAATTTAAACCTTCGGTACTATATTGGGAAATCAGACCCGTTTTCTTTTTTTCATTCCTTCTGATATTAGGAAGCCACTGGGGAGCTATGCAAATTTTCCATCTAAATTGAAAACTCATTTATTGAAGAAGTGCTCTCTGTGTTTCGTTTGTTGTCCTTCCCCCGCACTTGCACTTCGCACGGTTGGCTACGTACACTCCGGGGAGGACAACATGGCCAGCAGTATGAAGTATTAAAACGGGGCGGGTGTCGCGTTAGAACTGCAAACCTCAGAACCGAGTGGCAATCGGGGCTTTTCCGCTCGGCAATTACATGGCCCCACACTCCGAACCGCCGATTCCCTTGCATCAATATTCAACTTGCGTTTTTGACAAATTAAATTATTATATTATACATGGGTTGTTGTTTTTTTTAGCAGCTGATCAAAGCCCCTGTCGGGAATATTCATCCAAATAGAATTTGATGCCGCCGCGGAAATTCTTCTATCAAGGCCACGAATCGTTTGAGAGAGCGGAGAAAAAAAATTGCCCCCCCCCCAACCCCCT